AATTCAATCACCTATGCAATAACCTTAACCCTGTATGTTCCCCTCTTTCTGTTGGATTTTTTCCATCTCAGGATCACTCTCCCAAATATTTCCACTCCCTAGTAAATCCGCATCTAAGAAGAGCTTTTATGTTAGCCCGTTCTAACATTTTTCCTTCGGCCACCCATGCCGGTCGATTTCTCAATATCTCTTGTGAAAAAAGACTTTGTTCTTTTTGTTTAGAGACGCCTGACACCCTGGTTCATATACTGTTTCAATGCCCTGCTCATTTCCACCTCCAAGTTTTTTTTTCTTGAACCTTAGATCTCTTATTTTTCCAATTCTTCTGAGTCAGTTCTTTCTATTTTCATGAGTGATGAATGTAATGCCCTGACCACTGCTGTTGCAGGTTTCTTATCTGCAATTCTGAAATTGTCCCCTGCTTCTCGCTCCTAATTTGTGAAATTTGTGTAATTTTACTTTTCCTATTTTGCTTGTGTTGTCGTAACTTGTAAATGCCATTAAAGGTTTCAGGACAAAGACAAAGAGTAAAATTTACATTCTCTGAAACAGTGTTCTGAATATCTGTGACCAAATAACTAATCATCTATGCATGGGAAGATTGAAGATAAGCTGCTGTTGGTGCAATACATTTTATGGACACTCTTGGAACTGCTGATAGACTGCAAAGAAGTACTAAGTAAAGTGTCTTTACTTACAGTTGCAATCAAGTAGACCTAGCTAGACTATCTAAACCATTCAGATCTTGTCAGCAGAGAAAGCTGGTCATTAGTTCACTATAGTCAATCAAAATATAATACTTCCAAAAGAATGTAACTTATTTTAAAAGCAGTTTAGTTTGTGAAGCAGGGAAAAAAAAGCCTCACACGTAAACTTGGTATTATTTTTAATAAATATAAAGTTAAAAATATCAGCAAGACATACGAATCCAGATACATTTGAACCTAATGACATTTTTGGAATGTTTTCAGGCTTGTTACTGTCTTACTCTCTGATTAACTAATGCCCATTCAAATCTTCCAGTAACTTTCGGACATATTTGAGCCACCAACTGGAATAATAACTCCCTGTTTCTGTAGCTGTCGAAGAACATCCAACATAGAATCCAGCTCAATACGAAATTTCTCCAGCTCTTGATTTTTAAGTAATGCAAGTTTTCTCCACTTTTCAATTTCCTGGATTTGTTCCACTTCTGCCATATGTCGTGTTTCCTGTATTACCTATATAGAAAAAAGTACAATATATTCAATTCTAGACATGTGTTAACTGGTACAAAAGTAGAAAGTGATTTTTAAATCTGTTATTAGATCTCTTGTTAGAAAAATTCTAGGAGTTAGTATGATCATGGTAGAGATAACACAAATAGACAAATAGTATAGATTCACTGAGCACATGTCCATGGGATAGTCTTAGAATCAGTTCTTAGATTATATATCCTTTATAAGGAAAGTACTTCATTTATAGTGGGAGAAAACCCCATGAGTTCTATATGCTGCTTGTAATTTGCAAGTCTCAGATAGTTTTATAAATAAGACATGTTTGACTGATACCTGATGAATATTTTTTTGCTGAAATCCATGAAATGCTGTTGAGAAGCAGTAATGATATAATTAGTCTTTCCATAGCCTCTTCTGTGAGGCTCTTCTATGAGATATGCTTTGTGAACACATTGGCAGAGCCAGTGAGGAGAAACACACATCTACATCCTGACAAGTCAGTTGTGAAGAGAGCTCAGTTAAGACTTGGAGGGGAGGAAAAGCTCCAAAACTGAGCTGTTGGAATTAAGAGTGGTGACAAAACTAGAATTTGTCGTTAGGTCCCCAATGCAAACTACTTAAATGAAAGCATTTAGGGACGAGTGTAAGATCTCTCGCTCTCTTAAGATTTCAAAGGAGGTAGAGAAAACAACAACTACCCAGCACTTCAGTACAGGAAGGAGGCAGAGAAACACACAACATGCCCTCCTTGCAACCATCCTGCTGAGTTCTAGAATGTGATTTTTACAGCTCAGCCACTGATTCAGTGTGATTGTGGATGCACTTTCTATTCAAGAGAACTGTGTTGCAGGCACTCCAACCAATATGTGAACCTCCATATTTCATTAAGGAATTTAAATGAACGAGAAAGCCATCCAGCCTAACCTTCTACAAGCATTTCGGATGTCTCTCAAAGAACTACCTGTTCCATGAAGCCTTATGGTTCCCATGGAGCCTTGCCACTCCCAGCCACCACCAGGACAGATTTCTTCTTCTTGAAAGACTAATAATGGCAATGGAGGCCCATTTCGAGGTAATGTAAGCTGCTCTGTAGATTTATGCTTTGGCTGCAGCTCCCAGAATTCTACCCAGAGAGATTCTGTGCAAATTCTGGGAGTTGCTGTCCAAAAATCCCCTCTGATAAAGAATAAATTGGAGAAACTACAGAAATATGAGTAAACAAGCTTAACAAAGGGAAGGCATGAACTAGACCAGGTCTCTAGGTTGCGCTCTCACACCAAAGGGAGCCTGGAGTCCATCTGATTAGTCAAAATAGTCCTGTCTACCAAAGAGATTGGTGAAACAATCTCTTTGGTAGGCAGCATCTGCCCAGGTCATGAATATTAATATAGTATCTGCACAGACCCATAAGAGTGCTGGAAGGGCGGAGTCAGACCAGGTCATGAATATTAATATAATATCTGCGCAGACCCATAAGAGTGGTGGAAGGGCGGAGTCACGAGATATAAAAGACTCAGCAGGAGAAGGGGGAGTTAGAGAGACTGAGACTTTGAGAGAGTTGAAGGGTTTTGGACTTTGGGCTGGAGTGTGGTGGTTGAGAGTGGATGAAGGAGGATGTTTGTTTAAGAGTTAACATCATTGCTTGAACTATCATCATCTGTAACAATAAACAATTTCTATTTGATTCTTTTTAAATGACATAGGGCCTAGATCAATAATAAAAGATAATGTTGATGTAATCAACTGGTGGTAGCTGAAAGACACATAGTGTGAGCTCTTAGTTTGGTGAAACAAGCAGGGACCACGTGGGGATTGTGACACAATCCATTCCAAAGATGCCCATCTTTTCTTTGGGAAACATACTGGTTATACATTACCGTGTTTCCCCGAAAATAAGACAGGTCTTATATTAATTTTTGCTACAAGAAACACATTAGGGCTTATTTTCAGGGGATGTTTTATTTTTTTCCATGTACAGCAATCTACGTTTATTCAAACATAGTTGTGTCTTCTTCTAGTTGCTGCACAATGGTGGAGGGCGGGATTTCACTTAACTGGGGCGTATTTTTTTGGGGGGGTAGGGCTTATATTACGAGCATCCTGAAAAATCACACTGGGGCTTAGGGGTTAAGTCTTATTTTCGGGGAAACGGTAGTATCAGGCTGCTCTCTGGATAGGATACTACATGAAAGTGGAAAACATATGCACACATGAACACACACATATTACAAGTAAGACTGTGTGAGAAATTCATCCAGTTTGCTTTTAAATGCAACCTTATCAAATTCACATTTTCCAAATCACAGTGCATTTTGCCCTTGGCATTCAGATGTTTGCCTAAATTTACCCGGGACAGAACAATGACAGAAGTATGGGAAAACATGCAACACCACCCACACCTCCATATAGAAGTCTCTCTGACTTTCTATGTTGAAGGCAAATGCACTGGGTAAGCATGTTGAGCTGAATGGGCTTATAGTGCTTTCATGATCAGAACTCTCCCTTCTCGGAAAATATGATAATGTGAGCACTGTAAGCATGTTCAGTTGCACCCACTCATAGGTTTCATTTTAACTGTGTGAAAGTCTGAGGAGACTTCCAGATGAAGTGAAGATGTGAGGGTGGGACATATGTGTGTAGTATAATACCTGAATAGGGCTCCTGCACTTAGAAAATTTCTGATGGCTGTGATTCAGTTTGCAGAAAAAAACCCCCAACAATTTTGCACATAAGAAATGTATACAAAAATGATCAAAAACACTATTGGGAAATCACTTGCAAGATATATACAGACATGATAATTCAAAAATGTACATAAAAATGCATATACATTTTCATGTGGACAAGAAGCAAAAATCTCAGTCCCATGCGTAATTGAATCAGAATGGTCCTGCACTGAGAAATTGAAAACAGGAGCAAAATTAACAGATCCATCCATCTCTAATTTCAAAGATGGAAAGGCAAGGCTGAATTTTGAAGTTAGGGTCTCTTTTGCTATACTTCTAATGCTTACCATGAGCTGTCATTCAGCATTAAATCGACTATAGCTGTATGTCGATATTTTTATAATGGCTTAAAATTCTAAAGATAGAAGATGCTTATTATAGCATAAGATGGTTGCTATAGCAGCCAGTTTGCAAGCATCAGAAATGTTGACTTTTGCAGATATGAATTCCTTGTTTTATTTACCTGCTGAAGTTCTTGCTCTCTTTGTTCATATCTGGTTTCCAGCTGTTTGATCTTTTGCTCCAGACACACAAAATGTCTCATCTCAGGGCTCTGGCTCTCTCTGGCCTCCCTGAGTTCTTCTAACAGTTTTGCCATCTAAAAAGATAAACTGTGAAATTATTTGGGAAGCAAATTTCCAAATAAAAAACTGGACTTCTTCAAAAGGCAATAATGAAATTACAGGAACAAACAATAACTATGTGCTACAAAGATCAAGCAATGACACAAAAACTGTTTAATGTATTTTAACATTTTCCAAGGCAGGGTGGGTATAGCTGGTTTTTGGCTACTGCAATCAAAACAATGAAACTTATAGCACTTTAAAAATCAACGAGTTTTATTTGGCGTAAGCTTTTGCAGACTATAGCACACTTTGAGTAGGCATGCTATAGGTTCCAAAGCTTAAAAAGCAACTGACCGGAAGTTTAGACAAGCAAAAGAATCAGAGATTGTACACAAGGAATTATTCCATCTTTCATTTTTAAACATGATCAGATGCAGTCACAGTGGCAGATGGGGGAGAAAAAGCAGGACTGCATTAAAATCACCATTGTGGAAGTGCCAAAATTGGGCATGCAAAGCGTGGAGGGCAGAATGCAGGTACTACAGTTGTTCCTGGCTTGATAAATCATGACAATTATATAAAACACTATTGTTAACTATGAGTTTCCAGAATAAATAGGTTTAAAATACTCTTGTATTTTCCTTCACCTCTTTTTGAAGTATTTCCTCTCTCTTTCGTGAAACTGCAAGGGCTTCTTGATCTCTCTGCAACTCACGAACTTGCTGTTGAAAATGTCTAATAAGGATCTATGGAAAAATGTAACATTCTCAATTGAATCATTAAATGTTCTCAACTGATCTAAAATTTTCAATAGTTTAGTAATTATTAAATTGGAACAGACATAGTATGATACTTCTGGTTTCAAAGTGAACTGTCCTTAACTAAGGTTGCATTAAGATTGATGAGATTTACATCTGTACTAATATGTAGGATCATCCATAGCAACAAAGGCCATTGGAATGAAGGTGAGTTTATAGGTTTAGCCTTTGGTGAGCTGTATTCTGGTGCAGTTAAAAGACAAGCCTTTCATGACAGCAGCTATACGATACAAATGTGTCCAGGGGCGGGGGGGAAGAGGGAGAGAGAGACCATCTTTCTCTTTTCCATGCTGGTCTTTTTGAGGAGCACTGGACAAATCTCAAAATGTCCAGTAAATTCCACAGTCTCAAGCAAGCAATTTTCCATCCCTGCTAGCTTAATTTCCTATGAACTGGAGATGCCAGTGAAACTGAGAAGCACATGGAAATAAGACGTATTTATGAATGGTGTGCTGGTTGACTAGGAGGGAGGCTGCCTTAAAGACAGGATCCCAGTTCAGTTACAACCCTTTAATGCCTTTCTTTTTAAAAACCTTGCTAATTTCAACATTTTACCTATCACAAAACTGGTCTTCAGGACAACGGGTAAATGTAGTGCAGAACATGAAGTGGGATTAAAAACAGAGAACTGGTAAAAATGTGTGCCTGTTTCTCAGAAAAGGAACAGGTTGTACGTATTTACTCACTGAATTTCTCTTTATTAGAAGTTCTCACTGAACCAGACACCTTCAAGCGTGCGTCCTTCCTTCATAAATTATACTTGATACTTGATCACATTTGAGAGGCATGCTTACAGTACAGACAACTGTAAAACAGGAAAACTTGCAGGTATTTTGAAATAATGAGAGACAACAGGTCTACTTTACCTCTTGTGTTGAAATTTTGCTATTCAGTTCAGCTAGTTTTGAGGTAGAATATTCGGTGGCATGCTGACAAAGAATTACCTCTACTTCTTTCTGGTGTGATGCTTTGAGGGCTGTTATGTATTCCTCCGCATCTTCCTTTACCCTATGTTATTGTAATAAAAATTCTGTTAGAATTGAAGAGAAAGGCAAATCCCACTCCCTCCAAATGATACACATTCTCTTGTTCATGCAGATCATTCAACCCCATGTGCTAGTCTTGCGTTCCTGGTGTCCTGCATTGCTCTGTTGTGCTCTGTAGATGGGAAACCTAAAAATATGTCTGTTTCAGGCTAAACTGTGTTATTCACATCTTCAGCCTTGGCATGACTGATTTTTGTGTAAGTATGAACAACTAGTGTAACAGGGTTAAATTAGGTCAAGAGAGGGGTGTGTGCAGGTGTCTATATGTTTAGAAGAGGGCTTTAACTATTTGTCACTGATCCATCTCGACTGTAGTTAATGTGAAAGTTCTTGCTTTCAGGAACTCCATATGAGCTTCAAATATGAACTGTAAATCTGCCTCTAGCAGGTCAAAATTGAGAAGGAAAAAATGCCAATACACATGAATTTAATTTACTTTTTGGGGTGTCAAAATGACTCTCCATGTCTCCTCCATGCAAAAAAGCCAGCTCAGTGAAGAGGCCCTCCCCCCAAGGCCAAATAAATGCTTCTCCTCTGCCCCCCACATCCCCCCAGTTCTTCTCCCCTGCCTTCCTCCTCCATGACTCAGGCAAAGCCTGGAGGCACCTCCCTGCCCAAGTCCTGCCTGCAATTCCAGTTCATATTAAAATTATCTCTATCAGTAGGCGAAGGGGTTTAAAATAAAGCTGTATTGTATATACCATCATTATTATAATATAAAAATAATTGAAACTGACAATAATTGTGGTGATCCCCAGAAAACACTTCAGGACTCCCTTGAGGGTCACAAACCCCAGGTTGGGAACCCATTCCCTAGAGGTTAAAAATCTAGTTTTCCTTACTACCATGTTAAACTAAGAAATCAGCCTCGAACACAGCATTTTAATAAACACTTTACCTTCTTACAAGACTTTCAGAATTTGCCACAGCTGCTTGAGATTTTACCCTTTGCTGGCTAAATTCTAAGGTTAGCTTTTCTAATTCCTTTTTCAACTGGGCATTTTCTTGCACGATTTCTGAAATGGAAGAATCAGCAAAAGCATCAGGTTGGTATATTTTATCATCAAGGGTGGCAGGAAAGAACCCTTCGTTTCTGGGGTTCCTATGAATGGAACTGACAACATTTTTTTTCAAGATTCCTGTAGGCTTTTCTTTTTGGTTAGTTTTGCCAGATGAATTCTTATCAGAAAGCATAATCATTCTCTCTTTCTGAAGTCTTTCTACAGTTTTTGTGAGGTCTTGTATCTCTCTGTTCTTGGCAATCACTTCCTGATTGAGTCGTACCAACTGGGATTTAGACTGAGCCTGCTCCACCTGATATTCTAGCAACTGTAGGTCTGCACTGTCTGTTGTGTTCCTCTGGAGTTCCAGTTGAGCTTTCTGGTTTCTAAGAGAATCGATTTCGGCTTGAAGATTTCTTACAGTGATCTGATGAGCTTCCTTTGCACTATTAAGTTCTTTTTCAAGGGCCATCAAGGCGGACGAGTTGTCTTCTGTCTTCTTGGACTCATTCAGCAGCTTATATGCCAGCAGTTGCTCGAGTTCCCCAATCCTTTTCTCATACTGGAGCTGCAAAGATAGATCACATACAGTAAAACCTTATAGGTAAATTTGATGTGCTGCCTCTTAGGTATCTTATAATTCTTGAATTATTTTTTTTTAAAAGTCTTGTTCTCATAGTTTGTTCTAATTTTGCAACTTTTTTAAATTTTCTACTCATTGGAGCATAAATACATAGGGGCTAATGCCTATTTTCCCTATTTTTGCTAACTTCTGGGAGGGTTGTATACAAGAGATCTAAATAGTTAACAAGATAACAAATTAGGAAAGTAAATCACATTGTTTAAGAAGTCTTGGTTTAGAATGTGGAAAATTCTCTGCACTTCCCCACATTTCTTCCTTTTAGGAAAAAATAGGCTGAAAAGCACTGGCAGAGCAAAGCTGTAATGGTTGTTTAATATCTGTGGTAGAGCCACTATTCCTTCCTAAGTCTTACCGACTGGACTTAGGAAGTTCCTTCCCATTATCTCCAATGGGAAGGAACTTACTACAACAGCTCTTTGGAAGGTACAGGTTCTGGCTATGTTCAGCTGCATGCTGGCAAAACGAAGGCCTAAAAACCTGTGGATCCTTGGCTGTTCCCAACATATCCTTCAATATATCACTACTTTTGATACTACATGATCATGATATTGCTGGCATGGCAACCGAAAAAAATCCAACATTATCTTTGAGCTGAACTTCACCATGAAGAGGACGTTCTGTAATATACTACAGCTCTTGGGAGACTCTTCGGCTGACAACAGGATTGCACCCAAAACAATCACAATGCCTGTATATCTATTCTACCTTATCGTGAGAACAATAGATCGGGAATGAAATGCTCAAGAATATCAAGAATAAAGCTACCAGCTTGTGGTGTACCTCAATATTCAAGAGCAATATTGCATTATAAAATTAAAGGTCATATTTTCTTCAGACAATTAAGAATAATAATCAAAGTATTCACGAAGGCTTTCACGGCCGGGATCTAATGGTTGATGTGGGTTTTTCGGGCTCTTTGGCCGTGTTCTGAAGGTTGTTCTTCCTAACGTCTCACCAGTTTCTGTGGTAGCATCTTCAGAGGACAGCACTCTGTGCTCTGGTGCAGTTTGTTTGTCCCAAACAAACTGCACCAGAGCACAGAGTGCTGTCCCCTGAAGATGCCAGCCACAGAGACTGGTGAAACGTTAGGAAGAACAACCTTCAGAACACGGCCAAAGAGCCTGAAAAACCCAGAACAACCTATAATAATCAAACCTTACTTTTAAAGGCAGCACATAGGCGGCTTTTCTTTTGAATCTTGTTCCCAATAAGAAACAGAACTAATTATCCACAGTGGGACACAGGAATTACTATTTTTCATTTTTCTTCATTTCTACAGCTACAATTACTGAAAGGGGATGTTTTCCCCAAGTGTGGATACAGTCATCAAACAGTGTTTCCTTAACAGACTTATCAACAGGAACAAAACCCATGTAGATAAGCTGATTGGTGGATTGCACGCTTTATCATTTTCTTTTGCTGCTCTGCCATGCCAGCAAACAAAGTGAAAAATATGTTTGCTTGAGCAACATAAAAATCAGAATTACAAGCTCCTACATTGGCCAGGACGTAACTTCTGCAAGGATAAGTACTTCAATGTGCAACTCTTCTTTTCTCAAAAATGAAGCCACTGCCCCCTAGACATCCAAAAGAACCCTGCTGTCCTAGGTAGATATTATTGAACTCAGGTAATGTCTCCTTACTTAGGCTCCTGACTCTAGGATTCAATGACTTAACAATGAGCTAAGTTACATTCAGTTTCTAACAAATTCCTTTAAAGCACAGTAGTCACCTTTAGTTTTTGAAACTGTTGTTCCATTGTACGGAGACTTTTCTTAGCTTCATCATCTTTACCCTCAAGTTCCCCTTCTAACTTTTTGACTCTTTTTTCAAGGAAGTCAACTGTATTTGCTTTTGCTGAATCATCACCTTCAGAAGATGCAGTAGCAGCAGCATATATCAAAGCGGGCAAAGAATTTGGGTGTCTTCTTCTCAGAATCCCTTCCATTTCTTTAACCTTTCAAAAAAGGTGGATGTTAAAATTAGTTAATAAAACAAGCTTAAACAACGTTAAAGAAAAGCATATGTACTATATATTATAGAGAATGTGTTGGCAAGTAATCAAACTAAGCTAAACATCTCACAGACACTAAATAGGGCTAACTTGGCAGGACATGTGCATGGAATTGTAATGGAAATGTTTCAGAAAGAGCATTTTAAAATTTGAAAGCATTATCATCAACGTGATATGATGGAATCCTAAGAGTTGGTTTTGCACAAGCCCAAAAAGCATTTTAAAAAGGTCTACAAGTCATGATCCTGTACATAAAACCATACATCATCTTCTCAGTTGCAAAACTGATTTTCTAAATAGTAGAGTGGTAAGTACAGTACAAATGATTCACAAAAAGGAAAGAGAAAAGATCATAGCCCAGTTTTTTTCAGTAAGGAAGTACTAGGTTTGATCTCTGATATACATTGTTGAAATGAATTAGGTTTCATGTCATGGGAGAGAACTCTGTCTAGGATCCAGCCCATCATGTGGGCTACACATGGTTCTCTGGCCATTTTTCTGTTTTCTCTGGTCCATTATACCTCATTGGATCATAAGTAAAGGTAAAGGTTCCCCTTGACATTTAGTCCAGTCGTGTCCAACTCTAGGGGGTGGTGCTCATCCCTGTTTCCCAGCCATGGTGCCAGCGTTTGTTCGAAGACAGTTTCTGTGGTCACATGGCCAGTGCGACTAGACATGGAACCCCATTACCTTCCCACCGAGGTGGTACCTATTTATCTACTTGCATTTGCATGCTTTCAAACTGCTAGGTTGGCAGGAGCTGAGACAAGCGACAAGAGCTCACTCCATTGCGTGGATTTGATCTTACGATGGCTGGTCTTCTGACCTTGCAGCACAGAGGCTTCTGCGGTTTAACCCGCAGCGCCACCACATCCCTTATTGGATCATGGCCCCCATCAAATTTGCCACCACAGCCATGGAAAAATCCTGGGTCCCCCCCCCCAAATAAGGTACACTATTTCCAAGTCCCTTGTTTACCATCAGTTTCCATGTCCCTTGTTTACAGTCAGAATCACACTCTTAGTTCATTCACAAAGGCAGTTCCACTTATAAATGTTTGTAATAAAAAAAACTCCATCATCAGATTTGACAGTTCCAACAGAAGTAAATAAGTGGGGGAGAGGAAGGAACCAGTGGGTTTGAATGTAGAAAGGTAGCCCTTTACCCTTGGATTAAACATCTGACCTAATATAAGACACCTTCCTATATTAAAAAAAACATAAGCCCAAGTACTCTTGGGAATCTGAAAATAGCCAAACAATCTATTGATGAATACATGTCATACACATAAACATGGACAACAACAGGGCATAAGAGTATTATACATCAAAAAGTATTCTAAACACATATATGATTTCAATAAGAACATCTTTTTCTGTGTTTTTAGGAATTAAGGCACTTTTATTTCATTATTTTGGTCTGTGTAAGTACACCAAAGCACCCACAGCAGTACTATAGTAGTTGTGATGGTCTATACTGGACTTAACTGAGAACTATAGAGCATTAAAAAGTGCCTGTATTACATGCCTGTCGCTCAAGGTCTTGAACTCGTTTAGAATCTGCTGTCCTGTCTTTTAGTTGTTTCTTTTGCTGCAATGTTTGATTCCCAGCTTCACTTCTAAGCTTATCAACCTATACAAAACATGCAAAAACACACTGATGATTATTACTGTCAAGAAGCAATCCATTCATTTTATTATTAGCACAAGAAAAATATATGAGCAACTGCCAAGGAGGTAATTGTATTAGTTTGTTTTACTCCAGTGTGGCTAGTGCTATTTTTAACATGAAGAATACTGCAGTGGTGCCTTGACTTATGAACTTAATCCGTATTGGAATGGTGTTTGTAAATCGAAATGTTCATAAGTCGAAGCACCATTTCCCATAAGAATGCATTGAAAACCGATTTAATCTGTTCCGGCCGAAGAAAAAAAATTCACCAAAAAAATAAAAAGAACACAGCAAGCCCAGTCAGAAGGTGCTCCATTGCTGAGGTTTAAGAAAAAGAAAAACAAACACTAAAGCTACCTCCGTTGCGGAGGCAAAAAACCCTCCAAAAATAAATAGCCACCAACAACACAGCATAGAAACTTACCCAGCCCGGCCAAAACCCATCCAGAACAGTTTTCTAAAAGGAGAAAACAGCAGCTTATCTCCCTGCAGACAGACACACACACACATGCTCTGAAGCAGAAGGAGGCTCTCCCAAGCCTCCAACACGACTACACACCCTCTAACTGCTGAAAATGAAAGAGCTACAGTACAAAGCAGCCTTGTCGCCACCTACAGTTAGAAATTTCAATTTCCTGCCTTTTTCCCCTGCCTGTTTCTGTTTGTAAGTGGAAGCTCTGTTTGTAAGCGGATGCAAAATGTTGCGACTGGAGCTGTTAGTAAGTTGAAATGTTCATAAGTAGGGGCGTCCGTAAGTCAAGGCACCACTGTATAACTTCCGTGTGAAATATTAATGATAAACTGACAAGCACTGGATGCTGATTTCACAGCAAAAATATCTGATGTACTGTGGAACAAGAAAGAAGCACCCACAGCCTGGGCAAACTTACTTTGGCAGTGTAGGGCTGAATAAACTAACTTTTTTGCTACTTCTTGACAAAGCACTTCAGTGAGATCCCAAAATGTGAGATGGAGTGCTAGATGTTATGATACAGGCCCACAGCAGGTCTTGAATGGCAGATGTGAACAATATCATATGTGGAATTCAACCTGAGTGTTTCCACCCAGCTTCGTCCAATTGGACAACTGTCACAAGACTAGCCACACCTGCCAGTGAAATCCTTTCAGACCAAAAGGGGTGAGAACACTCCATATAGATCTTAGCGACTAAGGAGCCAAAAAAATCCAACATAAACGTTGTGGGGCTTCGAACTATGGAGATACAGGATACAGTGACACCACTCTATCCAGAGACTATCTTGGCCAATGACAGCCTTCAATTAATTCATGAAGTTTAGGTTGCATATTACCCTAGTCTTTTTAGCTCTATAGGAAAAACTAGGTGAGCTTGTCTTCTAGCTGGCTACAGGCAACTTTCAGGTATTGCCCTTTCAACTGCACTGTAGTGAAGTCTGACACTGCAGTCACCTCTAGTTTTAGTTTCTTAATTTCTTCTTTTGCTTTTCGAAGGCGGGCTGCATCTTTATCCAAGAGCTCCTGATTTTCGGCATACCACTGGAGTCTTTTTTGCAAACGACTGATTTCTTCTTTGTAGGATTCTTCCATAACCTTCATCTCATATGATTTTTCAGCTGCGAAGTAATTAAACATTTTGTGACAACACATAGTTATCTTAACTAATCTCTTCTATGGCTATTCCTTTTGTTTTGTTATTTTCTACTTTTAAAAAAACCAGGGCACATTAAGTTTCCATGTCTGAAGATATCCAGTAAACCAAAACTAAAGCAATACCCATAGTACAATTCTATTGCTTTCTTCTTTATTGCGAAAGAAAACTAAAGTTTGATTATTAGAGTTATTTCAGGTGTGGCTATTTCTTCTTTCCCATTCTAAGAAGAAACATACCTATTTTGGAAAGGAAGACCTATCCACTGGTTAAATACAGAGACACTTTTTCCTGCAACCAATTTTTTTGTTGGCAGTTCTCTTCAACCCAACCCACCACATGAAGAGAGAATGTCTCTTCCTCTGTTCTTGATGACAGCCATCTTTCCTAATTCTCTGATTCCCCACCTTGTTGCATGCCTCTGCCCAATTAATACATGCCTTGTAATCCTTTTGTATTAAAAGAGCAGATGGACACTCTACCATTTATTTCAAAGAATCCATAAGCAAGCAGAGAACATCTGCAGTTGATAGGTAACAGGAATCACCCTATGTCAAAGAGCTCCCAACAGTCAGAGTAGATACTGGGCTAGATGGTTAATCATCTAAGCTGATACATGTTAGCTGCCAGTACTCCTTTGATTTAAAATTCTATGAAATTTTATTTCATATACAGTGGTGCCTCGCATAGCGAGGTTAATCCGGTCCGGATTAACCCTCGCTATGTGAAAACATTACTGAACGGGACGGGGAAGCCCACTCACCGTTCAGCGATGTTATCCATAGCCGGCAGCCATTTTCGTGCCCTCGGTAAGTGAGGGCAGGGCGCGAAAACGCTGCGCGCCGCCATTTTGGGGCTTCCGGCGGCCATTTTGAACCTGCTGAACAGCTGATTGTCGGGCTTCGTTTTGCGAAGATCGGTAAGCGAAACGCTTACCGATCTTCGCAAAGCGATTTTTGCCCATAGGGGCCATCGGTATGCGATCGCATTTGCGATTGCTGAAACCCCATCACTATGCGGATTCGTCGTTCTACGGTGCGCTCGTTAAGCGAGGCACCACTGTACAGTAATTTTCATCACATGTGCAGGACAACTCACAAAAGTAAGTGTTGCAATGGGGTCACACGTACTTGGGAAGGGAAATGGGAGGATGAAGAGTAGCTGCCAATATACAGAATTCAGTTCTATCCTCTCCCCCACTACCATCTCTCAACATTCCCTCACGCTTCTTTGGTATGTCTACTGTTCTTGCCAAGTTGCACTGCCACAAATTGCAAGGAAAGATTATGGGATCATAGGTTTTCTACTTCTTTCACAAAATACTATTGAAAAGCAAACTCCTTATTGAAAACTGAATAACGGCCTCTTCAGAGCAGAGACTTACCTGAAGTGGAAGCAATTTGGGCTCTTGCCAAATCTCGCTCCTTCTTCATTTGTCCCAAGTCTACTTCAAGGGCTTGTTTCTCTTGCTTCAGATTCTTTCTCTGTTCAAGCAAATTGGCTTCTATAACCTTCACTCCACCGCACCAACCCCAAGAGAACAAAGGGATGCAAAAATAAGGCATGAGAGTGCAGCCTACTTAGAAACATTGAACGGAATAACAGTTTTCCAGTGAACGCATTGAATATCTGCTGGTCACCAAAAAAGAGCTAAATAACAGAATACAAAAGATAAAGCATTGGACTGCAACTTGGGCAACTTCCAGCATTAGTCCTCATTGTGTTGCGACAGTCTGTGGATAAGATTGGTCAATCACTTTCCCTCAGCCTGACCCACACTGCACAAGGTAGTTAGGAAGGTGATATCCAAAAATACATTAAATGAGGATAATGCCAGCAACAAAGAGTAAAAACATGGCATTATATAAAACTAAACAACCACTAGCAATAAAAGACAATGAAGATCTAAGAACACTAGAACAGTTCTCAAACTGCTTACAAGAATAGTCTTTTAAGGCCACAATGTTTTGTCATCTTTATTTTTTTATTGTTTTTGCCTGACATGTTAGAACAGACAAACACAGCTACCTCTTCTAAAGCTGCTTGCAAGAAGAGAATGATCTGGCACTGAAAAGACCATAAGGTAAACATCAGGCACATCTGTCTGGGACAGGCATTCCATGGCCAGGCACCATCACTGAAAAGGCCCTCATGGAGAAGGGGCTCAGATGATGACCTTGTTAGGGCAGAGATATGAGCTGTTTCAGGGTCAGGGTCAGATTCATTTCCTCTCCCTCCTCCCAAGGTGCAGCATGTCTTTAGTCCTAGTTTGTCTTGCATGGCACAGGTTTGTCTGCTCCCTAGGACAGAGTCTAGGTAGGTTCATATAAGAGGGGCGTGACCACAGACCATTTAGGGCTTTGAAGGTGATATACAATCGGAATTTATCAAAATAAGAAATGTTTAGTTTGTCTCTCTCTCTTAAATTTACATTTCATGTTTCCAGCAGGAGTAGTGCTCATGGTGACCAACAATAATTTTTTTGAATTTAAAATATTTTCACCCAGCCTTTCTCCTAAAAAAGGACCCAAGGTGGGTTACATCATTAAAAACACATACTAAAAAAAGTAAATGATTCAAATATTAGAAAAGAATTAAATAAGCATTATATTAATAATGTCAGGTAAAAGCATTACTATACTAAAACAAATGTACTAAAACAGATTTAAAAGCAACAAAAATGCAAACCATCTTGTTTAATAAAAACAAAACTAAAATTTAAAGATGGTCAAGAGTACTCACCTTGGCTTCTTTAAGTTCTAAAATTAAGTCTGTGACTCTCTGATTCCCCATAGACTCAGCATTCTGTCCTCCATGTGATAAAATATTGTTTTTATCCATTTGTTCTCTAATTTAATTTTAAACAGTGATTAGCAGTTTTGCATCATTTTAAGATTCACAACAAATACTTGCAATGATTCAACATTCAAAAAAGACAATACTGTACTGACAAATTGCAAGACAGTAGTTGTGAAGATATTCAATAATCATAATGTTGCTAATCAGACTTTGAAGAAATTACAGAAAGAGAAGCAAGGAACTGCATTTTTACTGTCAGTAGAAACTAGATGTGGCTCAGCTACATAATACAGTACTTAAACTTTGTTGCACACAGAGAACTTCAACCGATGATACAGTATCAAAGGTTATTCGAAAGCAGATTATTGCCAATAATGTGTTCTGGGTTCAAATTCAAGAAGCATACAATTTGTTGCTACCAACTTCAAAGGCTATTAAGAAACCTGAAGGAGATGCACTAAACCTTTCATATATCCCTGAGATATTCAGACAGCTGAAATAAAATGTATCTGAGCTTTTCCTTTCTTTATCGAAAAAAGAGTGAAAAACAGTAAACCAAATGTTTACTCATCAGTCTAAGTGCTGCTCTCATGCAGTTCAGTTTGCAGAAAACTATTTGGATCCTCAACACAGAGGACAACATATAGCAGAAGATTTATATTCTGTTTCGACACAATTATAGATGTAGCTAAGAACACCTAAGTCCAGAACTGATGCAGCCGCTGTCACTGCAGAGTACTGCACAAAAAAGGGGGGAAAAAGAGAGCAAATACATAATTTGAAAAACAGCAGAAAACATGTCTCCTCTCACATGGTAGAAAATTAAACTATCTTATGTAGAAAAAATCCTAATATTTCAGATTAATTCTGCCAGTAACATTTCTCTTTACCATACTGACTAAATATTAGAAGTCCACCTTCTTATCCACTTAACAATTTTACAAATTAGATGATATTGAAACGTGGCCGTTCCATAATACAATTAACCACCGATTCAATGGGCAAGTTACATGCATGCCTAATTTCCCGGAACTAAAAATAAGTGGGACATGCAACTCAATCCAGTGTAAATATACTGATAATGAGGTCTCAGTGTGTTGGAAAACCCCCCACACAAGTAGGAGGGTAATTTCCTGTTTTTTCTTCATGTGTAAAGATTTACTCAAAATTATCATTAGCTTTCGATGAGAAGATCAAATCAACTAACCTTAAGGATGCTAATTCAGCCATCAAATGCTGATTCTCTCTGAACATATTTTCTTCATTTTTCTTGTTATTCAGTTGTAAGTCTTTCACTTGATTATATAATCTTTCATTTTCCTTAAAGATAAAGAATTGTTTCTCTTAATCACTATGCATAAGGGAAGCCATATATTACAACCTGTTCTTTACAAATACCGGAGGAAAAATTATTGGCCTGTGGCACAAAAACTAATCCAGAGTTCTTACGAGTGTCACATCTGATAGATCAAGTTCTTAGCCCATAAAAGCTTCTATCACGATACATCTGCTAGTGTTTAAGATGCCACAATATTTTAAAAACTGTTTTTACAAGTAAACAGCTCAAAACATAAAAATTTATATTTAACTTAAGATAACAAATTCAAACAAAAAGCTTTTAATGTAGGTATCTGGCTGCAGAGATAGGGGTTGGGAGTTCTATTCCCCACTATGCCTCCTTGACTCGATAATCCATAGGGTGCTTTCCAACTCTGAGGTTCTAAGATTTAATTATTTAACTTTCAAACAAGCAGACCGGTTTCATCAATTTTTCAGCACTGAATGACCATTGTCCAGCATTGAACTCTGCACTGAACCTAACCAAATAAACAGCATCTACATGTATTGCTTAACTAAGCATAAAGATGAATCAGTGCTTTGAAGAATGTAGTTATAAAGAACTTACTTGCAATTAATTTTTGTAATAACCAGTATGGAGAATTTTAGTGAAGATTCATTACAGTTTTAATGTTACAAAGGATATCTTCGCTTCTGCAACTTAACTTTCAATTGTTTTTCAATGATAAGTTTATATTTACAGGGACTTGTGTGGTCTTGCTACTTAGATGTGTTTAAGATAAGTATCATTTTAGTTCGTGTTTTTAGAAAGAAAGTAAAAGGTAATGACTACAGTTTACTTTTGAAAAGTGTGAAATTAGTTATTTTTTAAAATCAAGAAACTCACTGATACTGATGAGGGCAGATCTTGGAATCTGTAACTAGCTTTTAAAAGTAACTTTATAAAGTTTGAGATAAATTGTGTGTACAGCACATATAATATTCTTTATTATTTTCATATATCCTAAGTGTTAATATACTGAAAGGGCTCATATACGGTGGATGCATTTTAGAGGAGACTTCAGAAGGAATTTACAGAATATACCCATTTATTCATATGCTGAGCAGGTACATGGCCTTCTACTGAAATGAGAATTAAATGGATACAGCACTTCAAAAGTGAGCCTGGATGTTTTATATATTTCTTCATTAATATTAGAATGATATACGTGAAGATCACAAACTGAAAACAGAATAATTTAGTGAAATATAGTTTCATGAAGTAAGAAAGTTCTCTACCTGTTGATACCCTTGAAGCAGTGTCTCTTGATTTTGGAGTTCTTTTTTTATTTCTTTCAACATTTCACCATTATCAGGAATTCCTTCCCAGATATGTGACCATTTTGTTCCTTTGTTCAAGTCCTCTCTTTGGTTTAGCTAGGGGGCGGAAAAGGCACTGTAAATAAAATATGCTTTATAAAATTATTAGACAGAAGGGGGCCTACATTTTTTATACATGTAATGGAACATTATTATGTTTACAAGCCAAAGAGAAGGGCTTATTTTGCGCTACTTGTTTAAAAGTAAGAATATTTTTTGCTGAAACACAGCTTAAATTATTTTGATGACACTACATAACTTACATATCATAAAAAAGATACTAAGAATACATGGATGTTAGAATACATGGATGTTATACTTTATGAATATGTTTAAATTAATGAGCAGGGTTAAAGAAAATACGGTTTTATTTTAAAAAACACATATGATAAAAAGGGTTCAATGTACAAAGCATAATAAAATGTAGGAACACAGTTTTAAGTTGTCATTTTTTTTCAGCATACATTAATAATTCTTTCTTTTTAACTTTGTAATTTAAACACTTCCTGTTAACACTTACTCTGGCATAAGACCACACTTTCACCAATCTCTCATACTATACAGCCTCATAAAAAAACAAGATCATACTAAAATATACACATCTCACTGTCAGCTCATTCCGTTCCCCACCCCACTTCTTCACATACAGAATTTCTCCAGCCAGGAGACACAAAGACCAATCAGCTGGCAGTTCCACTCATACATATTTTTTTTGTTCTCAACTGTTGTAACAATCACTCCTGGCACACATCCCACACACATCTGTCAATCAACTCAGATAGTGATCACACGGGCAAAGACAAACTTTTAAACTGAACACATATCCAAAACAAAATCACCACATACAGTAAGACATAAGAGTAGGAAACACGCAGCTTGCTCAGCACCAGGTGAATAATCGCTCTACTGAAAAGCAAATTATAGTGTATACAATGCTTCACAATTTGATTTTTCTCATATGTAGAATGATCAAAAGAAGAATGATTGAATTTACTGAACAGAGAAGTGGTATGACTCATACAGTACCTGTGTCTGAAGAACATACTTTTCTTGGTTTAGTTGAAAAAGGGTTTTATCTTGTTGCATCTTCATTTCCATGATTTTTGTTTCCATTTCCTTCTCCTTTTGCAAATGTGTAACTTTTAGATGCTGAATTAAATCATGGGCTGCAGCCAATTTTTCCTCAGCTTCATGAACTCTCTTTAGTAAATAAAGCTCCCTTTCACTACTCTGAGAAGGAGAATATGAGGCAATCAGATATGAAAGATGGAGAAACAGAAGAAGGAAGGAAGGAAGCTGTATGCTATTTGGGTTTGTTATCACAGATGTATCATTAACTTGCCATTTTTCTTTTAGTTCCATAGTACAAATTGGTGGCTTAATATTTTCAGAAACCAGATAATTTGGGAAAGTCTTAACAAGAACTTTTCAATTACATGTTGACGGCAGCTAGGGTAGTAACGGCAACAAAGTGGAAAATGGAGACAGCTGACAAAAGAAGACTGGAGAGATAAAATGCTTGAATATGCCACAATTAATGAATTATGTAAACAGAAGGTCAGTTAGAGAATTTGAAAAAAAGGGGGAAACTATTTTGACTATTTTAAATAAATAGAAGGGGTATAAAACAAATTCTGCAAAAAATGCTGTATCAAACAAACACAGTTCACATTCTAAAATGTTAACAAAAAAATAAAAAACAGTACTGTTTAGAATAATATGTATAGTTAAAATACGAAGGCTATATAAACTATGTAAATAGACTATCAGTTGTCCTTGATATATATGAAATGTATAAAAATTTCTTTTTTGTAGTTTTCCTTGTGTACTTCTAAATATTTCAAAATTAATTTTTTTAAAAAGAAACAAATTAGGAACTGAACATCTATGCAAATTATTCCATTCAAGATTTTAAAATTTAAAGAGGAACTGAACATTGATAAAAATGGCTTTCTATGTAACAAGATGCACTGGCAGCACAGAAGAAACTAAATGTAGATCCACGAAGAAGGATCCAAAAATGTACTGTGTGCCTGTACAGTGGTTGGGAAGTATCTGATATTGGAGCTGAAGCAGATCTGGATCTCATAAAGTGTACAGATGGAGAAACACAAATGCTCCACATATGCTACTCCAAAGGAAGAGCAATATATAAGTCAGATGAACAACATTCCCGCAAAATGGATTTGGTAGTGGATCTACAAACAGGGATCTGAATGGTACAATCTACTGGAGCTTAAAGGAAAAGAAAGAGGATTCCTTTTCTGCCAATCCACCTTCATATCAGAATCTCTTATACCACCTGCCATGCTGCTCCAGAAGATCCTCCAACCATTTGAGGCAAATTTTTGAATTATTTTCAGATTTGGGCTGAAGTGGGAGCCTAGAAAAAATAATTTCTTTCCCATTTTTTTCACAGAGCTCTGCATCTCTCTCTCTCTCTATGTAACTTTAAGTTGGTATTGCTGCCTACAATGTAAACTGCTTTGGGAACTGAAAGGGAAAAATGCTTTTTTGTGACAAACAAGACCTCTAAGTGCATGCATGCTCTTTCATGCATTGGACTGATAAAATATTATAGGAACAGTGCAAGTCTGTTCGCTGACTAAGAAAAACAAGTGAGCATCATCCATTTTCATATTCTCCTTTCCCATCTCTACAAAGAGACAGCATAGATCACCTGTTTCCTAATATTCTGAAATTGCACATATCAGTTGCTGTACCACCTTCCTGGCACCTGCCCTTTTAAGAAACAACACTCATAAGAGCAATTACTGAGGCTTACATTGTGGATATGGATGCAGGAGTCACTTTCTTTTGCTTGCTCTTGAAGACTACTTGTGGATGACTCACCGGGTGTTGCACTGCAATTTTTCTTTGTAAAAACTGGATTGTTTGTTCTCTGTATAATCTGAGTTCCAGATGCCCCTTTGATAGTAATAAACAAACAAACAAGTTAAGAGTTAGGCTTTAAAAGTACCAGCGTTAAGCACTTTAGTAAAGGTAAAGGTTCCCCTTGACAATTTTTGTCCAGTCGTGTCCGACTCTAGGGGGCGGCGCTCATCCCGCTCTTCAAGCCATAGAGCCAGCGTTTGTCCGAAGACAATCTTTCCGTGGTCACATGGCCAGTGTGATTTAGACACGGAACGCTGTTTACCTTCCCACCGAGGTGGTCCCTATTTATCTACTCGCATTTGCATGCTTTTGAACCGCTAGGTTGGCGGGAGCTGGGACAAGCGACGGGTGCTCATTCCGTTGCGTGGATTCGATCTTACGACTGCCGGATCTTCTGACCCTGCAGCACAGGCTTCTGCGGTTTAGCCCTCAGCGCCACCACGTCCCCACCACTTTACCTTGCTCATTTATGTGGATAACATATATTACTTTGAGTAATTATACAATTTACCCAAAAAGAGAACACTGCATCTATTTTCTTTGCCTTCCTGCTTTAAAAATCAACTGGGCAGGAGCTGAAAGAGTAGTTCTGCTATAAATCTGAACTGCCTTCTACTCTATCTTTTTCTCAATACATCTTTCCCTTTGATGTGCAGAACCGCAAGGAACATTCTCTTACATCCACCTTAAACATAAATCACCTATGCATGACTACTCTGAGAAGGAGAATATGAGGCAATCAGAGATGAAAGATGGAGAAACAGAAGAAGGAAGGAAGGAAGCTGTATGCTATTTGGGTTTGTTATCACAGATGTATCATTAACTTGCCATTTTTCTTTTAGTTCCATAGTACAAATTGGTGGCTTAATATTTTCAGAAACCAGATAATTTGGGAAAGTCTTAACAAGAACTTTTCAATTACATGTTGACGGCAGCTAGGGTAGTAACGGCAACAAAGTGGAAAATGGAGACAGCTGACAAAAGAAGACTGGAGAGATAAAATGCTTGAATATGCCACAATTAATGAATTATGTAAACAGAAGGTCAGTTAGAGAATTTGAAAAAAAGGGGGAAACTATTTTGACTATTTTAAATAAATAGAAGGGGTATAAAACAAATTCTGCAAAAAATGCTGTATCAAACAAACACAGTTCACATTCTAAAATGTTAACAAAAAAATAAAAAACAGTACTGTTTAGAATAATATGTATAGTTAAAATACGAAGGCTATATAAACTATGTAAATAGACTATCAGTTGTCCTTGATATATATGAAATGTATAAAAATTTCTTTTTTGTAGTTTTCCTTGTGTACTTCTAAATATTTCAAAATTAATTTTTTTAAAAAGAAACAAATTAGGAACTGAACATCTATGCAAATTATTCCATTCAAGATTTTAAAATTTAAAGAGGAACTGAACATTGATAAAAATGGCTTTCTATGTAACAAGATGCACTGGCAGCACAGAAGAAACTAAATGTAGATCCACGAAGAAGGATCCAAAAATGTACTGTGTGCCTGTACAGTGGTTGGGAAGTATCTGATATTGGAGCTGAAGCAGATCTGGATCTCATAAAGTGTACAGATGGAGAAACACAAATGCTCCACATATGCTACTCCAAAGGAAGAGCAATATATAAGTCAGATGAACAACATTCCCGCAAAATGGATTTGGTAGTGGATCTACAAACAGGGATCTGAATGGTACAATCTACTGGAGCTTAAAGGAAAAGAAAGAGGATTCCTTTTCTGCCAATCCACCTTCATATCAGAATCTCTTATACCACCTGCCATGCTGCTCCAGAAGATCCTCCAACCATTTGAGGCAAATTTTTGAATTATTTTCAGATTTGGGCTGAAGTGGGAGCCTAGAAAAAATAATTTCTTTCCCATTTTTTTCACAGAGCTCTGCATCTCTCTCTCTCTCTATGTAACTTTAAGTTGGTATTGCTGCCTACAATGTAAACTGCTTTGGGAACTGAAAGGGAAAAATGCTTTTTTGTGACAAACAAGACCTCTAAGTGCATGCATGCTCTTTCATGCATTGGACTGATAAAATATTATAGGAACAGTGCAAGTCTGTTTGCTGACTAAGAAAAACAAGTGAGCATCATCCATTTTCATATTCTCCTTTCCCATCTCTACAAAGAGACAGCATAGATCACCTGTTTCCTAATATTCTGAAATTGCACATATCAGTTGCTGTACCACCTTCCTGGCACCTGCCCTTTTAAGAAACAACACTCATAAGAGCAATTACTGAGGCTTACATTGTGGATATGGATGCAGGAGTCACTTTCTTTTGCTTGCTCTTGAAGACTACTTGTGGATGACTCACCGGGTGTTGCACTGCAATTTTTCTTTGTAAAAACTGGATTGTTTGTTCTCTGTATAATCTGAGTTCCAGATGCCCCTTTGATAGTAATAAACAAACAAACAAGTTAAGAGTTAGGCTTTAAAAGTACCAGCGTTAAGCACTTTAGTAAAGGTAAAGGTTCCCCTTGACAATTTTTGTCCAGTCGTGTCCGACTCTAGGGGGCGGCGCTCATCCCGCTCTTCAAGCCATAGAGCCAGCGTTTGTCCGAAGACAATCTTTCCGTGGTCACATGGCCAGTGTGATTTAGACACGGAACGCTGTTTACCTTCCCACCGAGGTGGTCCCTATTTATCTACTCGCATTTGCATGCTTTTGAACCGCTAGGTTGGCGGGAGCTGGGACAAGCGACGGGTGCTCATTCCGTTGCGTGGATTCGATCTTACGACTGCCGGATCTTCTGACCCTGCAGCACAGGCTTCTGCGGTTTAGCCCTCAGCGCCACCACGTCCCCACCACTTTACCTTGCTCATTTATGTGGATAACATATATTACTTTGAGTAATTATACAATTTACCCAAAAAGAGAACACTGCATCTATTTTCTTTGCCTTCCTGCTTTAAAAATCAACTGGGCAGGAGCTGAAAGAGTAGTTCTGCTATAAATCTGAACTGCCTTCTACTCTATCTTTTTCTCAATACATCTTTCCCTTTGATGTGCAGAACCGCAAGGAACATTCTCTTACATCCACCTTAAACATAAATCACCTATGCATGTAAAATGTGTGTTAAAACAATGCACATGCATCTATTCATCACTAGGCAACCCTCCCCTCTTCCCTGCTTTCATATCCTGATGTATTACTGTCCATGGCTAATACTCAACATTCTTTTCCAGGACATCTTCAAGGTAAGACGCACCTTCGTACATTTGAATCTCTTTCTTCCATAAACCTTTTCTTTTAATTTTATACAAACTAATCTTACTCATTTCAACACAGAATTAAGTCCTTAGTAGAGCTTACTCCCCTGCACTGCACTCCACTACATCATTCTCCTTTTAATCCTGCCCCCAGTCTTAATTTAAATTATGAACGATTTTGGAAGAGAAGCTGCATTTTACTTAAACTACTCCACAAAACAACATGTACTTTAGGGCCATTGATAACTGAATTGTCTTTACAGCTTAGTTTGAAATACTGCCACTCATCTAAAGTGATTTCATTTTCTGAAGCATTTTCTCTGAACCCACAAACTGCGTTTTAAGCTATCACTTTGTTCAAAAAGCAATTTAGAGAGCCTACCCAGATGGATTTCACAGTGGGGAACCCAAATAAAAAGAGCACACACCAAGGTTCTCGTGGTACTTTTCCCTTTGGAACACATTTAAAGTTTAAAAAAATGTCCATGAGGGATAAAAACTTAAATAAAATGTCTTCAGCTGAAGTCCAACCATCTGCTCATGGCCCTAGAGTGTCTCCTGGGCCCACAGGGGCTTTGTTTTCAGAATTTAAGGTCAGAGATAATTCTGCAGTCTTGGATACTCTTCAGTATATATTGGCACAAATCTTAAAGTACAATATGATATTCACAGTTAAGGACTAATTTTACCTTAAAAGACGCAAAGTTCCTTGTGTAAATTAATGTTCCATGTAAAGCTCAGGTAAATCTACCAAACAAGAAACCTTCTGTGTGTAGCAGTGTTCATGTTTCAAGATGAAGTATGTTCAACATTATTTCACAATTAAAATAACCACATTCCATTAAAAATCAAGTACCTTTTTGCTTTGGAGGAGATTTGTTTTTCAGTTCTGGCTTTTTGAGTCCTTCCTTTAATGACTTCTCATTAACACTGGGAAGATGCTTTAATGAAAAACTGGATTTTCCATACCCAGAACTTCTAACAGCGCTATACAGCCCACTTGGAGATTTTTTTCTATATCCGCCAACTGCGTTTTTTGTATTTTTATACATGATTTGTTTATTGATCACTGAATTCAGACCCTCTTTATTCAATGTGCTGGGATGATGTATCTGTAGATAATGGTATACATATATAGCGTATCAGCTAGCTTAAAATTTAGAATATTAAAAAAACAACCAAAAAACTGAAATACTAATGTATAACTGGAACATAAAGTATTTATACTGGTAGATAATTCAAGTAATGAAGCTTTGTCTGTTTCTTTCAAATTCATATAGCTCAAGCAGCATGTACTAACACTGTTACTTTAAACCTCAACAGGATGGAGAGATAAATAGTTATTTTTATGGCAGAACAGCATCTAGGTCATATTGCACCATAAGAACATAGAAAAAACCCTTCTGGATCAGACCAAAAGCCTACTTTGTTCAGCATTCTATTATTAAGATGGCTAGCCAGATGCCTGTTGGAAGTGAAAGGCAGAATGTTTCAGAGACCTGTATCCACGTCAATTCTGTTCTTCATCAAGAATCAATTACTCCTAGAGATGGGCAAGGACCAGAAAACTGGTGGATCGAATCTCCAGAAAAACAAACCGGTTCGTGCTGGGGGGGCAGGCTATCTGCTCCTGCCAAGGGTCAGGCCCACTACATGAGGATGATGGTGGTAGAGGTGGTGATGGTAGTGGCAGGAGCAAGGAGGGAGGTGATGGGGCAGTGGAAAGGGGCAGGTAGTCATCCTGTTTTGCCGAACCAAAATGAAGTGCTGAGGGGAAAAAAGTTTGGCACTTCGTTTTTATTCATCAAAATGAGATCCTCAAACTAGATCACTATCCTTACTGTGAGCCAGCCTGCTTCATCCATTTTTCTGGTTTACAGTTCAGTTTGTGCCCAACTCTAATCACTCCTCCTTTTTTCCATTTATCTATGTACAGACTGCATGATTTGCTCTTAAAACAGGAAAGATATGAATAGTATTCCATGGTGATATTCTAATGTTCACAATGTAATTCTTGGTTCAAATCCCAACTGAAACTGACAGAGTGATTCTTCCTATGTCAGATATACAAGCAGTTTTCTGTTTCAGACAAATGAAATAATGACAGTACCCTCAAGTGGCAGATTTTGGAATATTCTAAATAATCTACCCTGTGCTCCTGACATGTTTGGAGTAAGCACGTTGTACATTTGTTGTTGTTATGTGCCATCAAGTTGCCCCAACTTATGATAACCTTATGAATGAGAGATCTCCAAAGTGTCCTGTCCTCAATAACTTTTCTCAGCTCTTGCAAACTCAAGTGTGTGGGTTCTGTTAGGGAGTCAATCTATCTCACAGTCTTCCTCTTTTCCTGTTGTCTTCCACCTTTCTCAGCATTGCTGTCTTTGCCAGAGAATCCTGCCTTCTCATGATGTGCCCAAAGTAGGATAGTCTCTGTTTCAACCTTTATGCCTTCACAGGTTGTTCAGACATGATTTCATCTAGGAACCATTTGTTCGCCTTTCTGGCAGTCTAGGGTATCCACAAAGTTGTCCTCCAGCACCATAATATAAATGCATCAATTTTTTCCAGTCAGCGTTCTTTACTATCCAGCTTCCACATCCATACATGGTAATCAGGGATACAAGAATGTGGATAATTTTGGTCTTGGTCTCTAGTGACACATCTTTACACTTGTATATCACAAAAAACAAAATAAAAATAAATGAATAAAAAAGACAAAAAGGTTGTTGCACCTTCAAGGTTAACTGTTGTATTTTAATGTAAGCTTTCCTGGACAAGTCCACTTCTTCAGGCATATGAGTCAAAATGCAGAATCCACACACTAAACCAGCTTTAAGAGACAGTAGTGAATGATTGGACTTACACTTGATTCCATCTTTTTAAATTCCTTCATTGCTGCCCTTCTTTGTCTTTTTATGATTTCTTGGCTAAACTCTCCATTTGGATTGATGCTTGCACCCAGGTATACAAAATCTTTCATTATTTAATTTATTCAGTGTCAACATTAAAGCTGTGTAGTTTCTCATGATCCACAATCAAAGGCTTTGCTGCAGTCTATAAAGCATAGATTGATCTCCTGAAATTTTTCCATGTGCTCCAGCAGCCGGTGGATATTTACATTATGGCCTGGAGTGCCTCTTCCTTTTTGAAATCCAGCTTGAACAACAGGAATTTCTTGCTCCATATAAGATAAAGGCCTTTGTTGCAACACTTTGAACATCACTTTGCTTGCGTGGGAAATGAAAGCAAAGGTCCTATAGTTGCTGCACTCATTAGTATGTCCTTTCTTAAGGAATCGAATGTATATTGAACATTTCCAGCCTGTGGGCCACTCTTTTGTTTTCCACATTTGCTGGCATATTCTTGTTAGGATGTTGACAAATTCAGTCTCTGCAGCTTTAAACAGCTGAATCAATATTCCATCTACCCCTGATTTCTTTTCCTTTCTAGAACTGCAGGTTCTTCACCATAGGATTCCTCTTCAAAGGAGTCTGTCATCCTTTAATGTCTTTTGTATAGATCTACAATCTACTGTTTCCACCTCTTTATTTTCTTCTGGTCAGAATGTGTGCTTCCCTGTTGGTCATTCAGCATTCCTAATATAGGCTTACATTTCCCTTTGATTTCTCAGGCCTTATGAAAGAGATCTCCTGTTTTCCCTTTTTGTAGTTCTCCTCTATTTCTTTGTGCTGGTTCTCTTTGTCTGTATGCGACAGGTGCTGAAAAAGAGCATTCAGGGTTTTGAACCTATTTTTGTCACTTTTTACTCATGCTTCTCACCTGTCCTTTACAATGTTAAATGTTTCTTATAAGTAAACAGATACGAATTGTTAAGTAGTTTGCACGGTGACCCTGATATGAATGAACCACAGCAGGTAATTAGAAATTATATGGTATTGATAAAGACTGTTTTGAAAAACATAACTCTAAACATACTATGCCAACAATTCAATTTTTACAGATTCTTAAGATACCTGAAGAGAGAAATAGATCATCATGTATTATGTATGAGTTTAGCATGCTAGAATAGAACATCATGTTGAAGAAGCCATTATTTACTGTTGATTCCAAGTCCTAAATAAGTTGTTACTTTTCTAGTGACAAATTTAATTTTTTTTTAAAAAGGTGTTCCAGTTATTAAAAAGAATAGCTTAAAACTTACAGTTAAACCACAAAAGGAGAAAAGTTATCTCATGCTATGTTACAGTCATAATGTAATGTAGATATGTATTAGTTATTGCAACCTATTATAATATTTGGCAAGTATTTCCAAGCTTTGCTTAACTTTTATAGTCGTATGGTTTCATATGACTTCCAGATGTTGCATACCTGATTAGATCTGTACTCTTGATGCAATGTTGAAGATTTTGGAAGAGTATTTTGTTTCCAGGTATCATTTTTAATTTTGTCTGTCATTCTGTCTTTGTCAGTCTTTTCTTGAGGATGGGCTTCATTATCTTCCTTCACAACTGGCTGAATAGAAACATTCTCTTGCTCATGATATTGGCCCATCAAACTACCAATGCTTTGCTTTTCTGCATATGTCCCATTCTGTGGTTCTTTAACTGGGAAAAGACTCACTAATTCATCTGTATTGTGTGTGACTCTAAGAGATATACAGAGGGAAGGAGAGAGGAATGATATATACAACATGTTCTTTCCTTTTTAAAAATATAATTGAAGTTACATCAAAATATATGCTTTGCATGTTACTGTTATGCGTCCATTAACAGGATACATTAAATCAATAGCCTGATTCTACATAATGTTGTTGTTGTTTAGTCATTAAGTCGTATCCGACTCTTTGTGACCCCATGGACCAGAGCATGCCAGGCCCTCCCATCTTCCACTGCCTCCCGGAGTTGGGTCAAATTCATGTTGGTAGCTTCAATGATACTGTCCAGCCATCTTGTGCTCTAACATCCCCTTCTTCTCTTGCCTTCACACTTTCCCAACATCAGGGGCTTTTCCAGGGAGTCTTCTCTTCTCATGAGATGGCCAAAGTATTGGAGCCTCAGCTTCAGGATCTGTCCTTCCAGTGAGCCTTCAGGGTTGGTTTCCTTCAAAATGGATAGGTTTGTTCTCTTTGCAGTCCAGGGAACTCTCAAGAGTCTCCTCCAGCACCACAATTCAAAAGTAACAATTCTTTGGCGGTCAGCCTTCTTTATGGTCCAGCTCTCACTTTCATACATCACTATTGGAAAAACCATAGCTTTGAATATGCAGAACTTTGTCAGCAAGGTGAGGTCTCTGCTTTTTAAGATGCTGTCCAGGTTTGTCATCGCTTTCCTCCCAAGAAGCAGACGTCTTTTAATTTCGTGGCGGCTGTCCCCATCTGCAGTGATCATGGAGACCAAGAAAGTAAAATCTGTCACTGCCTCCATATCTTCCCCTTCTATTTGCCAGGAGGTGATGGGACCAGTGACCATGATCTTAGGGCTTTTTTTGATGTTGAGCTTCAGACCATTTTTTGCTCTCTCCTCTTCCACCCTCATTAAGAGGTTCTTTAATTCCTCCTCACTTTCTGTCATCAGAGTGGTGTCATCTGCATATCTGAGGTTGTTGATATTTCTTCCATCACTCTTAATTCCGGTTTGGGATTCATCCAGTCCAGCCTTTTGCATGATGTATTCTGCATATAAGTTAAATAAGCAGGGGGACAATATACAGCCTTGTCGTACTCCTTTCCCAATTTTGAACCAATCATTTGTTCCATATCCAGTTCTAACTGTTGCTTCCTATCCCACATAGAGATTTCTCAGGAGATAGATAAGGTGGTCTGGTACTCCAATTTCTTTAAGAACTTGCCATAGTTTGTTGTGGACTGCACAGTCAAAGGCTTTTGCAGAAGGAAATGAAGCAGAAGTAGATATTTTTCTGCAACTCTCTGGCTTTCTCCATGATCAAGCGCATGTTAGCAATTTGGTGTCTAGTTCCTCTGTCCCTTCGAAATCCAGCTTGTACTTCTGGGAGTTCGCGGTCAACATACTGCTGAAGCCTGCCTTGTAGAATTCTGAGCATAATCTTGCTAGCGTGTGAAATGAGTGCAATTGTACGGTAGTTGGAGCATTCTTTGGCACTGCCCTTCTTTGGGATTGGGATGTAGACTGATCTTTTCCAATCCTCTGGCCACTATTGAATTTTCCATACTTGGTATGCCATCGCCTCCATTGGTCTTGTTGTTAGCCATGCTTTCTAAGGCCCACTTGACTTCACTCTCCAAGATGTCTGGCTCAAGGTCAGCAACCACACTATCTGGGTTGCCCGGGACATAGAGATCTTTCTGGTATAATTCCTCTGTGTATTCTTGCCACCTCTTCTTGTCTTCTGCTTCTGTTAGGTCCCTACCATTTTTGTCCTTTATCATGTCCATCTTTGCACAAAACGTTCCTTTAATATCTCCAGTTTTCTTGAACAGATCTCTGGTTTTCCCCTTTCTATTCTTTTCCTCTTATTTCTTTACACTGTTCATTTAAGAAGGCCCTCCTGTCTCTCCTTGCTATTCTTTGGAAGTCAGCATTCAATTTTCTGTAACTTTCCCTACCTCCCTTGCATTTTGTTGCCCTTCTCCTCTCTGCTATTTGTAAGGCCTCATTGGACAGCCACTTTGCTTTCTTGCATTTCCTTTTCTTTGGGATGATTTTTGTTTTGAGCCTCCAGCCATAGCTCTTCAGGCACTCTGTCCACCAAATTGAGTTCCTTAAATCTGTTCTTCACTTCCATTGTTTACTCATAAGGGATTTGGTTTAGATTATACCTGACTAGCCCAGTGGTTTTTCCTACTTCAGTTTAAGCTTACATTTTACTATAAGAAGCTGATGATCACATCCACAATCAGCTCAAGCTCTTGTTTTTGCTGGCTGTATAGAGCTTCTCCATCTTTGGCTGCAGAGAATATAATCAATCTGATTTCAGTGCTGCCAATCTGGTGGTGTCCATGTGTAGAGTCTCCTCTTGCGTTGTTGGAAAAGAGTGTTTGTGATGGCCAGCTTGTTCTCTTGACAAAACTCTATTAGCCTTTGCCCTGCTTCATTTTGAACTCCAAGGCCAAACTTACCTGTTGTTCCTTTTATCTCTTGACTCCCTACTTTAGCATTCCAGTCTCCTATAATGACAAGAACATCTTTCTTCGGTCTCAGTTCTAGAAGGTGTTGTAAGTCTTCATAGAATTGGTCAATTTCAGCCTCCTCAGCATCGGTGGTTGGTGCATACACCTGGATTACTGTGATGTTGAAAGGTCTGCCTCGGATTCGTATTGAAATCATTTTTGAGATTGTATCCCAGTACAGCTTTTCCCACTCTTTTGTTGACTATGGGGGCTACATAATAGTCTTTAGCTATTTATTTAGCATCCATCTAGCCAACTGCTACTCTGGACTGTGTTCAATGAAAAATAGAAAACATGAATTATATAATCACTACAAACGCTAGACAGTACCACAAAAACAGCAAGCAATAACCATATAAATGTTGAAGAGATAGGATATTTGGTATTTGTATCAATATGAATATCTGCACCACAAATGCCTGTGGAAACTGGACTCTCCCTGCAAAACCAGTTAGTTTACTTACCGCTCTCCGCATAGCATGCACAGCTATTGTCACTCATATCACACCAATTATGGACGAAGCCTAGCCTAGCCAGCACTTCTCTGCCACTGCATAGTTGACCACTCCAGCGAGGAGGCGGGATGATGAGTCTCCCTGCTCAGTGGTCAGCTGCGCAGAGAGAAGGGAAGTGCTGGCTGGGCTACTTTTATGACTGCTGCAATGCAACTGAGGACGGCTGTGTGTGGACCAGCCGGTTCTAGGGGGAGGGTCTGGTTTCCAAAGGCACCTGTGGTGCCAAAATTTGTATCCCAAGGGATAGGAATATGAATATCCCATTTCTAGTGTTGCTATATTTTTTTTTTAAAATCAATCAAATAATTTTATTGAGTGCTTAGAAGCAAGGAATAACAAAGCTTGTTAATCCTCACAAATACTAAAGAGGTTTTTGTGGTATGTTAAAGATAAGCAACTGATCAGCTTTAGATAAAAAGCTATAAATGGTTTTGATGTTCAAAACTGTCTGCAGGCTGGACAGGGGCAGCTCGCGGGCCATAGTAGCCCTCGGGCCGCACTCTGCCCAAGCCTGGGCTAAAGCATGCCTTTTGCAGAAGGATTACCTTTCTGGTTCCTGGTGATAGCTCCTGATGAAAGATGAATCCATTCTGATAGGTTTCATCAGTTCTTCTATGGTGGGCAAGTCTGAAAAGATGAAACAATGCTCTGGTTCAATGCACAGCAGAATATATTTAAACAAAAATTGCCCACTTGTTTCTTTTTTTAATCCAGTTATGTCTACAAAACTTTGGCTACAGTTATGAGGCATATTTTTCATCCATGTGAAAAGTTATGAACTGCAGAATTCCTGTTAAGAACTAGTTCATAAATTGCCTCCAAACCATGGAACTTTTATTTGTATTAATGTGCTTATTTGATTTTCAATGCATTTTTTGTACTGCTGTCTTTCTATATTTTATAGTTTGACAAACAAGCCAATTCTCCAATAGAGGTCCTCTTTAGTGAATACATAGAGACCATCCCTCTGTTACTTTAAAATTACTTAACAAAATGACTCAAGAGTATCAGACTGAAAACCCAGCACACACATAAAAGGACAACTGAATCATCTGTGTACAAACTGTACTTTAAATGCTTTGTCAGAGTCTGAACAGGCATCAAAGAGACAGGTGGGTAATTGGGCATTAGCTGCTATAGCAAACTGTGTGGACCATAATTGCTAATGATAGGAACTTTACAAGTTACTTATAAAGGGATAGTGGAGGGTGGAAACAATGATGGATTGAAAAATCGTCAGCTAGTAATCTCCTTGGAAACTAAAACAGCACCCTTTGATGTGGGAAAGACTTCATAATTATTAAGCAGGAAGGTCAGGCTGTGAATGCTAATGTATTACAACAGGTCAAGCATTCATAGTACTAATTACAGCTTTAAAAGCAAGCACTGTCTCAGCCCAGCTCTTCTGCAGCTACATGTATCTGAAAGACAAGGCTGAAGCAACAATTATGCTGGTCTGTGCAACAGTATGCAGACATATTTAATGTACCAGTGGACTGACTGGACTAGTGTGGTTGCAGTCTACAGACCAGAATGTCTGAATGCCAGAGATGAAGCAGCTGGGGTGGAGATTTAAAGAACATGACTCCAAGAGAGGCCAGGGATGCCCAAAACTCCAACTCCATCTCTAGATCATTGGCACCAAATGATGTAAACTTGTACCAGTGTCTGAGTAAGTGACAAATCTCAGTTCCCTAGATATTTTACATATAGATGCATTTCCCTATCTGATGAATTCTTTTCAGAACAGCTAAAAGGTATGTGTTGTGTTCTTTCATTTCACTTATTATAAGAAAGCAAATACTGTACAAAGGGATTTTTAAAGTCTTTCATATCCTACAAATAGAACAATGTATCACACAGGAACTATGAGGTCAAAACATTTATTCTTCCTAGGTGTTCATGCCACAGGCTTTTCGAGATCCCACATGAATAAGTAGAGGAAATATCCTGAGCAGGATGAAAGAAACAAGGTTTTTCTGTATCCTCACTAAAAACAGTACAAATTCAACATTCAAGAAAATGAAGCACTGATCCTATTTGCATACAGATACAACTATGTGAGAGGCTGTTTTCCTATTATGCAATTTATAGAATCACACTGGCAGGACTAATCAGATGAATTTTTCTCATCAACTCAATGCCTGTCCACTTTCCAGGTGGATCCAATGAAGTGAGAAAGGCTGATGCAGGGAATCTCATCTACACAACTCTGGTTTTATTCACATAACTATACACTATGATATCACACCACATAAAAATATCTTTAGCACCTCTATGATTACAAACAAATGAAGTCATCACTGATGCAGCAATACAAGCAGAAAAAAAAATCAGCAGCAAAATATATGAAGTGACAAGTTTTTCCTTGTTTTTCATTTTTGATTCTATACAGAAATTAAAATGTATATTTTATTTTGAAATTCATTAACCAGAAGTATGAAGAAGTTTCAAAATTTACCAGAATCAGTAGTGGAGGTATTTTTTGGGCAGTCTTCTTTATCCTGCGAAACATCTTTGACCAAGTTCTCTACATTTTCCACTTTGTCAGCATTAATTTTTTGTTCATCAGTATCCCCTAAAGACTGCTCAATATGGCAGTAGGCCTGATGCAAAGCTTCAATATCACTGTTAGTTTGCCCACCAGAAATACCTGAGGAGGAGGTAGAAAATATAATAAACATCTACCACGTGGAAAAATCTCTTCAAGAACCACTTGTCAGCAAAGAAATGGCACTAATAGTGCAATCCTACACAGGACACTCAGAGCTATGCTCCTTTCAATGGGACTTACTTTTACTTAAGTGTGTATGGGACTGCAACATTATGCAAAAATACCTAAAAGTATACCTAAGTCTAATATGACTTATTTCCAATTAAATAAGCTTAAGACAAGGTAGCTGTCCAATTAACAATCCTTAAAATTTACTAAGTGATGTGAATAAAAATTACAATCTAGTAACTACTGGGAACTAAGCAAAGGGAAAACAAAGGAAACAGATTTTCCTGTGTTTTACTTCTCTTTGCTTCTTCTCCGAGAACTATAATTCAAGAACACAACAAAACCCTGGAGCTTGTCCACATGATCGCTTGAGAAAACATTAAAAAATGATGATATGATCCAGATACAGTTAAGCATTATAAGCCCTTTGATAGTAAATGCTTGATTCTCTCCAATGATATCGATGGAACTTCAAAAAACTTGGCTTTGACTGGATGCGACCTAAATATTTATATGATAATTCTGAAGGGAAGACAGCCAGAGCAGACTAAGACAGACTGCACTTACTTCATTTCTGTTTTCAGTATGGTGAACAGATAAGGAAATAAGGAGTCAATAAAAAAGCAGATTACCTGTTCCATTCATTTCATTTGTGGTGACTTCTTGAGGTAAGTGATGTTCTGTCACAGCTGCATTCTGTTGATCACAAAGTTTTTGAAACTCCAGAGTTGAGTCTTGGGAATCAAGGAGGACGACTAAAAAGTAGATTGAGGTTAGAGAATATTGCTGCCTTGTAGCTCTGTATGTCCTATACAGTGGTGCCTCGCTTTGCGACGTTAACCCATGCAGGAAAAAATGTCGCTAAGTGATTTCATCGCTATGTGAGTTTAAAAAGCCCATAGAAACGCATTAAAACGTGTTTAATGCGTTCCTATGGGCTTAAAAACTCACCTTATGCGAAAATCCTCCATGGGGCAGCCATTTTCGGTGCCTCTAAAGTGAGGCAATCAGCGGGCAGCCATTTTGGAACTGTCGATCAGCTGTGCGAAAATGGGGCCTTTGGGAGGACCGCGGGGGTGGCTTCCCCCCATCATCCCAAAGCCGGCATTTTCGCACAGCTGATCGGCGGGGCTTCGGGATGATGGGGGAAGCCCTTCCCCCCCATCATCCCGAAGCCGGCATTTTCGCACAGCTGATCGGCGGGGCTTTTTTCCCCTTGGGAACATCACAATGCGATCACAAAAGCGATCGCAAAATCTTCACCACTATGCGGATTCGTCGTTAAGTGAGGCACCACTATACTAGCATCTATGAACATTAGCTTTTTCACTGTCTGCAATACTGCATGCTAAATATATAACTAAGACATTTTAGCTCTCCCTGACATGGCAAAAAAGGTTTAGAGTAAAATGAACAGCACTTGATGATTTCATTAATAAACTATCTATGGCTAGAACATAGTGTCAATTATGGGTGAAATGTTTGAAACTATAAAACAAAATGCACGAAATCCAAAAGGAAAGACACTGTCTGCATAAGGGCAAACACACAGCAGCTAAAATCCTATTTGTGCAGCTAGACTGCCAGTGGTTTTTGGAAAATAAAGATTCCCTGCTCCTGATCCAGGGCCAACCTCCCAAGAATTAAAAGGGATTCCATGGGAGCCTCAGGGCCTTAAAGCAAAAAACAAAGCCTGCTGCTTATATACCGCCCCATAGCGCTTCAAGCACTCTCTGGGCGGTTTACAAGTTAATTATGCAGGCTACACATTGCCCCCTCCCCCAGCGAGCTGGGTACTCATTTTACCGACCTCGGAAGGATAGAAGGCTGAGTCAACTTTGAGCCGCTACCTGGGATTGAACCCCAGGTCGTGAGCACAGTTTTGGCTGCAGTATAGTGGTTTTACCACCGTGCCACGAGGCTCTTAAGGGAGAGTAAATTAGAAGTTGTTCTCACAAAATTGTTGTGACTTATTATATCATTAGCTTTATGTGGTGACACCTATGAGACAGGATTTGTGCCAGTGTGTTACTCCCTTGTGCTTTCTCCTCTTTGTGCAATCTATGATGCAACTGGCCATGCCCTCAATTTTGCAGCTGGTGTGGGATCTGTCATGTGAAGGCGAGTCTGTAGAAGTCAGGGGAATGCAATCATCCTTACATGATCATGTAAACAGACAGGATTCTAGATATTAAATGTTAAAAATTGTTGGAAAATAGAAATGGTAGCAGAGCTTTTATAATACACATTTCATTTGAGGTACAAACAACTGCAGCACCTCATTATTAGGTTACTGATGCACTATAAATGCTAGACTAAAGCTACAACATTATGAAAACCACTACACCAACACAATGGGGGATTTACTTTTGAGTAAGCATTAATACAAGGAGACTGCACATTTCCCACTAGACAGGAAGGCTAGAAGGACAGCTAAACATCCTGGCATCATCTATAAATTGACAGGCATTTGTACTGCAGTATAATGTTACAGTAGGAATGGGTGACTTTGCATGGTCTGAGGGTCTATTTTCTGATCCTGTGAGCCACACCAGGACCCAAAGTGTGAAAAATATATTTTTGATTTCTGGAATTCTATTTTTACTACTGTTGTTGTTGTTTTTTGTTTGTTTGTCTTGGGAGCTTTTTGGGGCATCCTGTACCTCACTTTATAGCAAAAACAGTATAGTATTCCTGGAAAATGGCTTTTGTGACCGACAGACTGCTTCCAGCCAGGGGAATGGGAGAGCAGCCACAGAAACTTCCTTAAGGGCTGCATGCAGCCCACAGAGAGCTCTTTGCACATCTCTGAACTTAAGTGTCTAACCATATGATTTAAATTTTAATATTTAAGCAAATAAATATTTTTTTAGTGATATCTGGAATTTTAAAATATACCTGTCAACTGTTTAGACTGTGCTCAAGATAGGCATTTTAAACATCTCTTTGCTAGACAATCAACACAATTAACTCTCAATACTCACTTTTCAACAAATGCAATCCAAGAACAAAAGTGTGGCCTCTTTTACCATTACAGCAATTGCAAATAACAGATTTGACACCAGTGCAGAAGAAGACCAAACTAAAAATGGGGATACTGATTTTGATTCCAAAAGTGGATCAAGCCCTATAATAACCAACTACAGTGGTGCCTCGCATAGCGAGGTTAATCCGTTCTGGATTAACCTTCGCTATGTGAAAACTTCGTTAAACGGAAAGTAAAACGCCATTGGAACGCATTAAAAATCGGCTGAAAACTCACCATTTAGCAAAGTTTCCTGGGTCCGGCAGCCATTTTCGCGCGAGGGCGCAAAAACGCTGCGCACGGCCATTTCAGGTGTCCGCCGGCCATTTTGGAACTGCTGAACAGCTGATCCGCGGTGTCGCAAAGGGAAGATCGGTAAGCGAAACGCTTACCGATCTTCGCTATGCGAGTTTTGCCCATTGTGGCCGACGCGATGCCTCCGCATTAGCGATCCCGGAAAAGGGATCGCTATGCGGATTCGTCGCTATACGAGGTGCTCGTTATGCGAGGCACCACTGTACACATGAAATAAAACTACTTACTTCTGTAGAATTTTGCCACACATTCACAACTAACACTGAAGTATCATTAAACACTTCGGCCTATGGATTATTTTCTATTACTTTTCACTCAATACTGCTGCCATAAAATTACACATAAAAATCGAGAGGTTATGTGTTGTATATACAGTGGACCCTCGACTTACAGACGGCTCGACTTACAGACTTTTCGAGTTACAGACTTCTCTGGCTGCAAAATTTAGTTTCGACTTGCAGCCGGAGAATCGACTTACAGACCAGAAAAAACCCAAAATGGAACAAAAATAGAATAAAAACTGCCAGTTATGGGATTAATCAGTTTTCAATGTATTGTAGGTCAATGGAGATTCGACCTACAGACTTTTCGACTTGCAGCCAGCGTTCCAATACGGACTAATTCCGTAAGTTGAGGGTCCACTGTATTAACATGCTATTTGCATCTTTTGAATTTTGTACCTTTAGCCAGCATGCCAGTCTCTTCCTCCTAAAAATTTAGATAAAACGCATGAATAGATATGGAATTGAAAAAGGGATTTCTAAAAAGGACAACTGAACAGTTGATACTGTTATATGCATCATAGTATAATATTATATATCTACTTGAATTTACACAGATGAAATATTATACCTGTGTATGTTCAAGCAGGTTTACAATACTGAAAATTGTAACCTAAACCATGGGCTTGCAAAAACAAACAAACAAGCTCCAATGTTGTGCTTACAAATAAAACTCAGAACACTTGAGCAGCTTAATATTTCTGCTTAGGAGAAATAATTTTAAAAGTAAGACCATATATGTTTATCAGAAGGTATGATAATATTAATTACATGCAACTATTGGCCTCTGTCACGTGGCCTTTGGTCATTTCACCAAGCAAAGGTGCACGCTAGGTGTCGTTCAGTTGCCACCAGTCAATTACATCAACTTGTTCACTATTAATGACAGAAGTCCAGGTGTTGTATAATTTAAGAACCAAGTAGAAATTGTTTATTGTTTCAAGTGATAAAAGTCCAGTCAATGTCGTTAACTCTCAACTAAATAACCTTCTTTCTCCACTCTCAATCGCCTACTCTTCTTCCCCCTCTCCTTTTCTTTTCCCCTCACTTAACTCTGCCCCCACCAATCCCTATTGGTGCACGCAAATTTCAACATAAATATTCATGAGCAGGGTGAACGCTAAAGCCTCATATAAGAAAGATATGGCAGTTATAGTAAATACATAAGAGTTCTCACAGCCGAATGGATTTCCATTGCTTTTGCCAACAGCTACTTTATATGAAAGTAAATTAAGCACTCTATCTTCCTTTACTGAAAATAGCAATGCTTCCCATGAAGTCAGCAAGCCTATGTGCATATCAGCATCCACACAAAAATCTGTGTCACAGAAAAATGGCTGCAAATGTAAGCATATTTAGGATCTTACAATATGATGTCTAGGGCAATAAATGTGCTTTTTTCTCCCAAGACCTATGTCTTAAACTAGGCTTCCCCACCCTGGCACATGGCACATGTGTTACACTACTATTCCTAACTAGGCTATTTTATCTGGAGATTACAGACGTTAGATCAAACACAAACTGCCTTATATTATGAAAAACACGATGTTTTCCCAAATACCAGTTACTATTACTGCAGTTCTGAAAGAAACATGGGACCATCACTGTGAACAATAAGACACTGGATAAGCAATATTAAGCTGCCTACATTTCATTGTTTTTTTTAAAATAACTGAATAATATTAATGCTTCAGACAATGAGATAAAATCAGAGTGTTCATTCACATATTAATAAATGTGTAGATTACTCAGCGTGCTGTAGTGTTGTAGTTCCCAAACCTGGGTGACCCAGGTGTTCTTGGACTGCAACTCCCGGAAACCCCGGCCAGCACAGTTAGTGGTCAAGGTTTTGGGAGCTGCAATCAAAGAACACCTGGGTGAAAGTAGGGAACCACTGCTGTAGTAGATAGAAGAGGCTTCAGACAATGGCATTCATTCAGTTTTTAATAAATGTCTAAATGAACCAATGTGGTGTAACGGATAGTGACAGAAAAGAATTTAGGAGACCTGGGTGCAAATCCCTGCTTGCCCATGGAAACTCACAGCCAGTTGGAGGATGGTATCGGTAAAAACCATTCCATAAAATATCTCACCCTGAAAAGACTATTAAGGATTGCTATAAATCAGATGTGACTTGACGGCACATAACAAACAAAACCAATTACTCTGTTTCCTCCACTCCAACAGTGTCTTTTGATTTATCTTGTATTTTAAAAATGAGCTAAAAACAATACATCTACAGTGGGGTCTCTACTTAAGAACGTCCCTACCAATTCCACTTAAGAACAGCTCCATTTGCTAAATTTTGCTTCTACTTGAGAACAAAAATCCAAGATAAGAACAGGAAAAAAAAACTTTCCTGCTCTTTTTTTAACCTTAGGTCATCTTAGGTTAAAAAAGGTTCTCCCCCTAGTGGTAGAGTACGTATTAAACAGCTTTGCATTAGTTCCTATGGGAACTAATGCTTCAATGTACGTATGCACCTCTACATAACAAAAAAGCAGCCAGAACAGATTAATTGGTTTTCAGTCCATTGCTTCAAAATTAGCTTCGTCAGAAGTGCTTTTAACACTGTTCCCTGACCTAAGGGAAAAAAAAAGAGAAAAAAATATCCCCCTCTAGTGGTAGAAGGCGGAATAGCAGCTTCCCATTAGTTTCTATGGACGGAAAAGAGCAGATACAGATTAAATGGTTTTCAATGCATTCCTATGGGAAATGCAGATTCTACATAAGAACTTTTCCACTTGAGAACCACCTTCCAATACGGATTAAGTTCTTAAGTAGAGACCCCACTGTATTTCTCTAGATGGGAAAATTGTCTGGAATGCTAAGGGTTTGGAACACCAGATAAAGATCTTTCATTTATCCATGTCTTTCATTTTCCTTTGCATTTTCCTTTTCGTATGTTACAGATCCTTTTTTGCTTTAGCAATATTCCGGTTTTTATCTTGAACTGCTACCTGATGTTTTGATTTTTCTTTGCTATTAAAGAACTGTAAGTTACCATGCAAGTTCCAAATGCAAATGAAAGGGGAGATAGGACCTTTTACGAACAAGCAACATTGATACCTCAATAAAAAGACTAATAATCCTATCTATTATGCCTGTATTGACTTGCTATACCATTATCAGTATATATCAGTATATGCAAATTTATGTTCCAAAAATATTTAAAATATATAATTATTGTATGTGTCCTAAATGCTTACCTTAGCTTCTGATATGACAGGTGGTTCAATGTCAGTATCCTTGTTAGATTTTGAATCTTCTTCAAAATCCTCACTATAATCACCTAGGGGTGTGTGTAACAAGACAGATGGTTAAGTCTTCATTAAAAAAAAAAGACAGAAACAACAATATTTCTCTAACATACAGAACTGCATATAGCCATCTTTTGGATCAGATCAGATGCCTAGGAAGCAGGGCCAGGTCTACCATTAGAAATAAGGAAGCCCAGCCCTACTGACAAATGCTTGGAATGATATTTGCAAGTGCGAAGGTGGAGCAGTATGTTCAGATACAGTGACTGATGCTGTGCCAGTGCCACTGTGGATATAATATTCAAATGCCAAATGGATGAGCTTCTCTGCATGCGGTGTGAGGAGGATTTCATCTTCCCTTAAAGAACTAAAAAGATCTCAAAAAGTGACTGTGTAGGGCAGTGTAGACAGGTTTGGGGAACAATTTCAGCTTGTGTCTAAATAGTCCTACAAGGCCTCCCTCAGCAACTAAATTTCTGTAACATGGCATCACCCAAAACTAGGGAGCAAAACCTCCTCCAGTTTCTCCATAGAGCATCTCCATGCCAAAACAAGGTAACATGGTACATGGAGGTTTGCTTCATAGGCTCCAAGACCTAGAGGCTTCTGGACTGCTACATGTGTTGTGTGCTGTCAAGTCAGAAATGACTTATAGCAACCCTAAGAGGACTTCCACAGTAAGTGGGATATTTAAGAAGTGGTTTTACCAGTTCCACACATATTCCACGAGTTTCCTGTGTCCTAATCACTCTATCCATTACACCACAAAGGGTATGTTTACTTCTAAAACATGGCAGACAACCCCAGTGTCTTATCTCATAAATGCATGCAGATTTCTGCTCCACAATGGTGGTACTTTGAGGAATGCGGACACAGCCAGGAGGCCTACATGCAGCCAATGGGTTATGTGTTGCCTACCACTGTTCCAATTGAAAGGAGGTGCAAATCCACTGTAGCATTTAAACCCTTGCTTGTTCTAAATAAATGCCATTCCAAAGCATATACTGTACTGCAGAAGCTGATGCACTGTCCTATGGACATTTTGTGGCAGATCTCTAATGTTCTGTATGTCATGCTGGAACAGAACTATGTTTTTGAAGTAGACAAAATATATGAGTGTTTTATATTTTGTGAATTTGTCTCAAATTTCCTAAGTTAATAGTTGTTCATAATGTATTGGCTACAAAGCGAGCTGTCTCAACTTCTGAAGTTCATGTACCAGATTTTTCATGATTCTTAGGTTTATCTTCATTTCCTTCTTCCACGTCCTTCGCATCAGAATTCCTGCAAAATGTGATAGTATAATTTACAACAAAATATATTTCAAAGTACTCTTTCACAGTACTACGTTGAAAAAGTATTTTTGTATTTCAGACTGTTCTGCTGTTTTGGTAGCACAGAAGTTTTTTAAAAAAGGTCATTGCAAGCAGACAAATTTTACAAGTAACTACTGAAATGTCCACACAACTCTTCAATGCCACCATCTCCACAGACTAGTAAGAAATAATTTTTGTTAACATGTTTTCATATGGTAAGGACCAAATCTTTGCCTAGCCTGTTATTCAGTTGCCTAATAGTCAGTAGACAGATATTCCTGTGAGAAGGGGTCAAAGAAGACTATTACCACTGGTAGTGAGTTCTGGTGCTATTAGGTAGACTGCTCCTGAATGTGCAGATCTTCTTTTTTAATTATAATATTTAATGGCCTACATTCATCTATGGAAGTGTTCTGCTGATGGATGGGACACAACTTTACTTTACCACGCAGAAATCTGTTTGCCTGATAATCTTAAGATTCACTGTTTTGAGCAATGAAGCTTCCTTTTCCTATTGCATATTTTCTCTTTTCTTCTCAACAGCCTCAATTCTCACCTTTAAAAGTGCAGAAAATACGTTGTGCAACCAGAATCATAGATGTAAATTTGCCAGAGTATGACTATTCAGCTTCCATAATCAACTCTGAGCACAAACGTGGACCTCTTTGTTAGAAAAATTACTGTTTTCAATGCTCTTTGCTTAAGGAACTCAAAGACAGTATCATGAAGTACAATTAGTGATGCTGAACTACCAAATTCTGTATATACCCAACACACTAGATCTCATCCTTTACCGAAGAAACACTTGTAACACGTCTGAATCGTTGGAGTCCAGCTCCTTATTTAATCTTGAATAGTCAATGGTAGATGATGCTCCTTTCTCAAGGTCAGCAAAGAATCTCTCCTTTTCCTCTTGTTCTTCCAAAGTATCCAATCCAGGCCCCGGAAGATTGTCACTAGGCCCCAAAGCAACAACTGAATCTAAATTGTAAAATCATCAGAATATAAATTTAGATTGTCAGTAATATATGTATCAGCACAGTAACATAAATCTACTTCTGTAATAGGTTAATGACACAGAAAGACTGCCTAATAATACACTAATTTTTTTAAATGCCATAGATTTATAATGCCTCTGAATGCATGACTTGATCTTAAACATACTCATATCCGTTCCAAACCAGAAATTTATGAGCACTCAGATGCATGCATACATCATCTGTGCCTGGTTCTGTATTCCCATTTATTTCAGTGGGGAAAATTAATCTAAGACTACAAAGCAATATTTGGATGGACTAGTTCCCTTGACAGAAAGCAAGAGTGCGACTACACAGCAGAGAAACTCCTGTTTACTTTGAAGTTTTTCAAACCAGGTCCCTGTTTTGCTTCCCTGAGTGAAATCACTGTAGCTGTCTGGTCCAGTATCAACAATTATGAACAATACATCGGTGAAAAGAGAAATCTTGCTAAGATTGCACATTTCCACTGGGAGTACCCCTTCCCTTTGTCCTCTTTATTTTGACTTTTCCGGTCACAAAGCACTAATCTTGTACAGTGCTAACTTTGGCAAGCATTAAAAACAAATCACACACATTCCTGCTACAGTGATTCTACCCATTTCTAGCCTCTATGGCTATCTTTATCACGCTTGTAGATGAACAATTTTGAGCGTCTAGGCTGTGGATGGTCCTGGATGGAGTGTTGTGATGACCAGCAGTTGAGTAGCTGGATGTTGATTTGTTAGCATGATTGGAATGTAGTGTGAGTGCAGTCTGGAGCTCTTGTATGAATGAAATTATGACTTTCTAGAGAGGTATCAAAAGGTTTGAGCAGAGAGCTGATGGCAGTTAAAACTGAGAGTGATAGTCTGTGAGAGAGACTGCAGAGAAGTCTGCCCATAGTAGTAAAAGTGTGTATGTAAGACTGAGAATCTGTAACATAATTATTTTGTACTAATATTCATTGTTCATATCCTAGAATCTATCCTTCCTTTCATACCCATTACTGTAGTACCCAAATAAAATTATGTTTGATTGTTTGAACTAATCTCTCTTTTATATTATTAGGAAATGCCCTATGTTCCTAACCAGAAGGCAAAAGCATAGTTCTCAGGGCTGGTTCTGGTTTTGAGAGCATGTACAATCCCCCTAATGTATTAGTATTAGTATTAGTATTAGTATTAGTATTAGTATTAGTATTATTTATTGTTTGTGTGTCTGTGTGTGGAACCAGGAGCAGGGAACCCAGACTACTAATGAATGAAAATACATACACATCACCTAAGCCTATGCTCTATCACTAGGAACAGAAACTGTTATTTCCCTCTCTCTCTCTCCCTCTCTCCTGCCTTTCTCTTTAAAAAGAACACAAGGCAGCTTACATCATTATTTAAATTGAGAAACCATTTCACAGAACACAAAAACTAACTACAATACCAGCTTGGAATGAAGGAGGCTTTGGCTCGGATATTATAAAAGGATCAACCCCAAATAATTTGGAGGTTGTTTTGGGGGTCGTTGTTCTTGCAGTTTAATGCCTTCCCTCGTGGCACTAAGGAGAGGTGGCTAGGATTTAAGATGTGAAAAGATGATTGAGTGATGCCTGGAACAGCCTGAGAAGTGTGTGACCCAGCTAGTGTGAAGATTAGTAGAAAGGTCAGTGCCTCCTTGAACTGAAACATCATACCTGTGACAGCCCCTCTGAATTGGATCAGTCTAGTAAATAGTGAAAAGTGAAGCCAGTGAAATCAGAGCAACATAAACCACTTCCTGCCAGCTGAATGAAAAGAGATGATTCCGCAATGAAAATAACAGGTTACCCCATACTTGGCTTTGTATTATGTGGTTGATGGTTTTTACTTCAATTCTATTCCTCCCAAATCTGATGCAAACTCTGGAGTAAATGGTCAGTGTAGTTACTCCCTAATAAAGAAGATGTTCTGGGCAGCACAAAAGTTGACACCGGAACGGATTAACCTCGCTATGCGAGGCACCACTGTACTTGGCTTTGTATTATGTGGTTGATGGTTTTTACTTCAATTCTATTCCTCCCAAATCTGATGCAAACTCTGGAGTAAATGGTCAGTGTAGTTACTCCCTAATAAAGAAGATGTTCTGGGCAGCACAAAAGTTGACATTTATTTGTCCTACTTAATGTGTGGACATTATGCTCCTATTGTTGAATAAACTGGTGAGCAATTAATCCCTATCAATTTTGGTGGTGCTAAACTGCAAGATAATCAATCAGGGAGTCTTTTGAATTATGTGTCAGTACAAAAATAAATATAAAATATAATTTCAAAGGGACCAGTTTAGTACTACTGTGTTTCCCCCAAAAGAAGACAGGGTCTTATATTAATTTTTGCTCCAAAAATGTGTTAGGGCTTATTTTCAGAGGATATTTTTTTTTCATGTACAACAATCTACATTTATTCAAATATAGTCATGTCATCTTCTTCTGGTTGCTGCACAATGGTGGAGGGCGGCGTTTCACTTAACTGGGGCTTATTTTTGAGGTAGGGCTTATATTACGAGCATCCTGAAAAGTCATACTAGGGCTTATTTTCAGGTTAGGTTTTATTTTCGGGAAAACAGGGTATCTGTTTAGTATATCTATTTGCTTTTAAAAAACCTCGATGATATGTCACAATTAAGCTAAATCAAAGTAAGATAAGGAACATTTTGAGGCACTTTTACCATTAGTTTCCAGACTGTCTCTGCTTAAAGAGACAGAAACACCATTAGGCTGCTGAATCTGAATTTCTTCTGCTTGATTTTCATCCTCTTCCATAACACACCGTGAAAGCCTTCGTGACTTCAGAAAACTACCACTTGTGCTATGGGTTCCTAATAATAAAGAGGCAAGGAAGGAAGAAGTTACTAATATCAATATCTGTAACTGGAATACATCTACAGTAATATTTGGATGAGGAATCCTGCAGCCTCACTGCCAATAAAGTTCATATATTGCTTGAAAGCTAAAACAACCCACATCATCTTCTTTATCAGTTACATTTGTATCTTGCCTTTTCTCCACGGAGCTCAATACCCACACCTCAAATAAATTAGCAGAAGCGCATACTCATGTCTTACTTGTTACATTTATATCTTGTGTTTTCACAAATAAATACAACCTCTGAATGCATGTGCCGAAGCACATTCTGTTGGTGCATTGCATTGTTTGGTTCGCCAGCCACTGACCTGTGCTTGGCAACACAGTGAGCACCAGCACACTAATGTGATCACTTGACACTGCAGCTGATTACTGCTAAATATAACACACATGTAAATCCACGTTAGCCCAACAGTGCTGCCCTCAGGTTCAAATGTGACAGCTATAAATTCTTAAGAGATCTATGTTCTGTTAATATATCACTGAAACATCAATAATTAAGATGCCAAAAGAAGAAACTAGATGCATATACAGTATAACCAAGAAACCTATTTACTTACGTGTCTCTCTGATCATATTTTTTATTGTAAATCATGGCTATCAAATTAAGAAGGCTCATTTTGGTTCATTTAGAAGCAACAGTTTTATACAAAAGAAATGATGTGAATATCGCATAATTTAAAATATTCATGAAGAAACAAAATAAATCTTGTTACCCTCAGTACGGTCATAGCTGTCAGCAGCAGGGATTTCTTCTTTGTTTAAATGTTTGTTTTTCTTTTCCTTAAAAGACTTTTCCAATGTTTTGTATTTAGCCAATGCCTTGCTGTGAGATGTGCTTGAAAAAGGTTTAGGGGTAACTACTTTAACTAGTCACAACACAGGCACAAATGTTTAGGAGTAATGGGTTTGGGGCCAAAGAGAACAACAAGTTATTTTACCAAGCTGGAAAAAAAGGCTTAATATTCACTCATTCTTATTACTCCTGATTGAATTATATCACACACAAAGTATGTAAACCCTTTAAAAACTGCACAGATCTTTGAATTTGATTAAATTAAACCCCACATTAATTAGATTATGGGTTTCATTATCCTTTCTTGAAGAAAATATAAATCACACTTCCTATTTAACATCTTTCAAGTAGCATTATGCATGTTCATTTGACTTTAAATAGACCAACTGGCCAGGTTTTTTTTTTAAAGTACTGTATCCTGAACCAGTAAGGTAATTTTTGCAGTGACTTAGGCTTCAACTACGGGGTCAAATATCTTGGAATTTGCTCCGTTTGTAAAACTGGGTGAATCTGAAGTATTTTTACTGACCACATGACACAAAGGCTGATTTGAATCAGTCCAGTCCTTTTTGCTCCCAAAGTAGCTTTTTTTCTCTGCCACTGGGAGGCTTCTACTTTTTCAAGCCAGAACGACTCAAACAGGCTTCTCCCCATGTGGTTAGTTATGATACATTCTTGTAAAGACAGGGAGCATATCTGTAAGTAGTGTTTCGGTGATGTAGGCAGTTGGGGCTGCATTCCTTCTTTTCTCTCGATTGTCTTCTGAATTTTTTAAATTTAATTTCTTACATATATGAGATAAATGCTAGATCACCCTTTCACCTTATTATAGGGCCATCATCATTGTTATTTCCCATATATATGCCCCCATCAGTTCCCCATCTGATTGGCAGAGATGGGACCGGAAGAAGGAAGAAAAGGGGAGGTATGGGCTGGAATGTGAATCGCATCGCATCCAGCATGTACAGTGAACTCCCAAATCAATCCCTGCAGCCCGTGCGAGCAGCGGCTGCAATTTCAAAGGTAACATAGGCTGCACATCAAATAGCAGCAAATGTTTTCCAATGAAGTCATACCCTTAATTGTAAAAATCCCTAATAAGAAATATTAAAAATATAATTGGTTTGCTTCTTTGCTAAAAATTAAAACGAGTATTACCTACTCAAGCACTGCAAGACAGTGCTCAGATGAAAATACAGAAATCTTAATTTCAGTATGAATTTAAAACATTAATTACTTTTTTTTTTTTTAAAAATGCAAAGCTATCATTTTCTGAAAAATTTCACTAAAGTATTTGGAAGCAATCACAGGAAAAGTAGCTATCAAACATTATCACTGGGGAGGAATTGATCTCTATTTGCAACACAGCACCACAGTGACCAAATTAATATCTACAAACAGGAAATTTAATCTAGTACCATCCTGGTCATTTGAAAGTAGTATCTTCTTGTCACCATCTTCAGTCATGTCATCTTCCCCCCCTAGCAGTTTCTTCTCATTCCTTTGTTTTACAAACTTGCTTGTCTTTGGAACTTGTGAAATCCAAGATGGATATAATAGAGAAAAAATTGCAGTGGTGACCCAAAAGCAAACATTAAAAAACAAATGAAAATGTTTATAAAAATTAATCAATAAGATTAGGTATATTTTTTCGAGTACCAATTGTGTTTCCTCTAAAATGTGATAAATAAAAGATACTACAGTATGTTACTATGTTACAGAAGCTAACGTAAAGTTACCCCTTATTTCATTGTTCATAAAGGTCCCTTACTCTCCAGATACTTTTTCAGGGGGAAATCACATGACTTTTGGTAGCAGATTGTCATTAACTACCAAGAGGATGAGCCTGGTTGTGCGCTTGTTGAGTGATCAGTATGCACTCAGGAACATAACCAGCACAAGGTCAATGAGTGGCAATTTGCTGCCAAGATATACGCAGCTTCCCTTACAGAAGCACGAGTCAGCAATAAGACTTTGTACATAAGACTAATAGTATCAAAATTGAAGCTTTTTAAAAATATATAGGTCACAGTCATTCTTTCAAAAAGTATCAATGAATACAAAAGGCCTTTACTGACACCTTGTGGCCACCAATAACAGGGCAATTACAAGTTACAAAACAACTCATTACCATCATCCAAATCACTTTCAGATATCCACCATGGTAAAGACTGATTCTTATTTCTACTTGGTCCAACAGTTTCTGGAACACTGGATTTTTTCTGTGGCTCATTTCCAAATGAATCATCTGAAAGAGACTGAATCAGAAGGAAAATCACTGGTGCTGTATTATAGTATATTTTATTGGCTATCCATAAAAAGTACATGTTAAAAGGCATAAAAAGGCAATGCTAAACATGTTTAGGTCCTACTGAGCTACATTCAGTTACTAGTCTCTATAAAAGCATACTTGCTGAATGAACTACTGAATAGTAAGTGAACATGGCTTGATCATGTCTGTAGTTATTTCTTGAAGCACTAGGCTGTATTTATGATAAAGTACAATATTTTTGTACATTTCTAGTTTCTGTTATAGATAGGTGCGCAGATTCGAACAGTGTCCTAAGATATCAGAATGTTGTTCTGCTGATTCCCAAGAGGAAAGGCAAAAGTTATTATTTTAACATGTTATGGTTTTTTAAATAATCAAATGTGGTTTTTTTCATGCAAAAGCACAGGAATAGCAATTGCTATATAATTAATATGTAAGGTCTTAAAGAAACTATTTAAAAAATTTCCCAAGAAATTATGTAACTAACATAACAGTCCTTTATTTTTTTTTAGATACTAGAGTAAGGCAAGTAGCAGCTGGTTTATCTTAAAATATACTTTGTGACATAGTGCCCCATATTGACTTGCATTCCTATGGCAGAATCTGCATATGCTTTCCAAGGATTCTGTTTATAGCAATGTCCTGAAATTACAGCTTGATTGTTTTTAATCAATTTAAATGTACTGTACTAAAAGGAACAGAATGTATGAATCTTTGCCAAAATATGCAATACATACCTATGTATAGTATTAGAACTCTGAAACTAAAATTCTCAGTTTAAGTGAGCACTAGAATATCAAAGCCTTTCTGGAGCATTAAAACAATCGCTACTATTATATAAAATACTGTATCAGCATAGCTAGGCCACTGCATGCTACTTGCCAACACTGCTTGAAAGTAAGATTATGTGAGTAAGTCCATAGCTTTCCAACCCAAACGTGCCTGCAGCCAACCTCCATGAACAATCAAACATAAAAACAAACAACTTCCAATATTTAAAGAAGTAAACAGAAAATGCTAAACATAGGCTGGAGAGGCACTAGATAGGAATGTTGGACTAAAGTATTAGATCTAAAATATTACGTTAAATATACAGTACTAACACAGTGGTTCCCAACCTAAGGTAACCCAGATGTGGGAACCACTGTATTAACATGCATGTGTAGATATGTGGATTAGTCAAATGACTTATGGGTTAGTAGAACTTGTGAGCTGTTTGCAAGATGTTGTAACTCTTATAATAGTACTTAGCAATTTCACATACAGTATATAGACCCAACAGGTGTTGCTTATTTCAAAGACTGAAAAGACTTCCATATAGGCATAAATATGTAGATCATTGTAGATACTCAGAGAAAGCTGTAATTGCTGAAATATATAAGCCTAAATTGCAGCACACTTGGGCCCAAACTAGACTAGATGTAGCTTCACAACACAATCTTGAAGCTGCCAAGTTTGCACAATTAACAACGTACATTAATTTCCTGATGTCTAATCACCAAATAAAAGCAAGCTGATTTGCAGCTTCTGGAGTTTAGAAACATGGGACTGTGATAAACAAATGCATTTAACCTCTTATAATGGCAGGCTTGCTGTAATGTTCAAACATACTACAAAACCAGGGCTTCAAAGTCACTTGTCATGAAACCAACAACGTAAAACTTTAGCTTATGTGTTGAAAGTATTTTAAACTATGTAGAAACACCATGCAGAGATTCTACATCTAAAATAAAGCTGATAGACCATAACTAGAGATGTTGCTCCATCTTTGGAAATAACTGTCTGAAATATCATCTAGATTCACATGGAAGATGGGGTATAATGAAAAGTACATAAACTATGGATTGGTTGTAATTCTGGGGAAAACATGGTTTGGAGTCTAAACTATGTACTGTATAATGCAAACCCTTATGGCTGCACCACCCTCTAGTACTCTAGTGGAAGGTTACACACTTCTTCTAAACACCCCATGTACTGGAAAAAAGTATATGAGAACCCTTGATTAAGTGGTAAAGACAAAATAACAGCATATTGTTACTCTAGTATATCTTGGAGAAAACAGATTTACTTTTTTAATAGAAGTTTAATGTAAAGCTTATAAATAACTCTGTCAAATTTAAGTTCTGTTTTTTAAGACAGAGCACAAGCACTAATGCAATACCAATCTCCCAGAACAACTGAAATGGGAGCTACTGACAGGCGTCTGATGCAAGTTCTGTTATCACTTGCTATTTCTTTTGTGACTGACTGCATCCTATGTTCAGCAAGGGGGACCTGGATGATGCTGATAGTCCTTAGAGCATTGTAACTGAAGAAACTGAAACCTCCCCAGATGCAGGGACTGAGATCTGGAAACATTCTACATTCAGCCATCTTGTCAACTTCAAATAGTAAAGTAACAGCTGGGAAAGGAAACACTTACAGAAAAATTGCCATTACTAGTCCTTGATATATCAGTTGCCTGATCACTGCCATAAAGAGAAGTAATGAAAAACAAAGGAATCCCCAGGCCTTTCTAATTGTACTTTGTGTTGGCTTGATCAAGAAGAGTACTCAATATGACGATTCAAAATATGTTGAACACAAAACAGCTGGATCTTGTAAGATGTGTAGCATGGATTTAAATCAGTGGTCTATATACAGTATGAGAGCAACATTTAAAAGCCAACATTCTATATTAAATCAGGGCACCTCATTTATTATGTGGACTACTATGCATTTTCAAAATTAGGAGCATCCAGATATCATGTGGATAGAAGAAAAGCACTGAGTGTCATCTCATATGCTCTGTAGACAAAAGTGAAATTCAAATTAGATTTCTCTTCCTTGTTCCTACTAAGCATATGCTGCCTGCACTGATATCCTTAAAGTACCCTGAATGTGCAATATGGATGTCCAAAAGAAACAGCCAATCAAGATTTGGAGAAATAATGAGAAATTGGCTGTTTTATGTAACTATCAACTCGAGTCCTTCATACAGCAGACATCCTCTCTCTCTCTCTCTCTCTCTCTCTCTCTCTCTCTCTCTCTCTCTGTGTGTGTGTGTGTAGGATGAACATACTGTACATATACTTCCTTTCTTCACACATACAAGAGTGCATTTGCCTCCACCCTCCAATTACAGAAAATATCAAGGATACTGACGCACATGGCAATGACTGGCATGTGCATGCACATAAATGCTGGACAGACAATGGGTTATTATGTGTTAGAGACAGGTCTGTTTCTTCTCTTCCCACATGAATCCTGCTATGGCTGCCAGATACTTTCTCCAGCTTTCATGCCCTCATATCCAAGAATGAATGAACTAATGATAAGTTTTACTGATTCATTGGATATGGTCATAGAACTCACTGTGAGCAGCTTTACATATTTTATGCAACAAGACACTAAAAAAAACCCCAATGTACTGTATTCTCCTGTTCTTCATTACAGGTTCTGTTAGGTTTATTACTTTGTTCCCTTCTCACAAAAAAAGGCCTAATTAGTTGCATTAGTGTGCATTTGTATTTTCCAAGTTAATTCCTACTAATATTAACTGCACTGGGCAAACTGCAGCAAAACTCATAAAACTATAGCGAATTTTGTCACATAGAGCACTCTGGAAGCTCTCAGCACAGAGGACAATGAAAGGACACACTTAAAATAAAACATAACTACCTCTTTTAAGAACTGTTCAAACTGTTCATCCAGATCTTCTTTCAATAACCGGTGAGCCATGGTCAGCAACTGGCCTTAAACACCCAAATCATTGAACTGACAGACACTAAATGAAAAAATAAAGGATAATTACTGCATCTGGTGCCATTTATTACTTTTTAATTTGCTTGTTGATTATGCCCTTCCTTAGCCAATAAGGCACTATATTTATATACACAAAATACAGAGCTATGGATATTTTGCTTACATATTTTGCTGATTTAAATGTATAAACTGTAATTTAATACCATCAGACCTTTGTGTATGACATGTCTCTTGCATTGTAATTCTGAGCTAATATATTTCCATTCACCTTCTCACTGGGCCAGTCTTCAAAACTTTTTACACCTGTTACTTTCCACATGCATAATAAAGCAACAGGGTTTCAGCCAGTAAATGAGAAAATACTCAACAAAACTGAGTTATAGCAAATGTCATTATAAATCTAGGCATGTTGAGACACTTACCTGCTAATGAAAATACGTTCTCAAGGGATTTGGACAGACACAGCTATGAAACACTTTCTTGAAGCTTTTCATGATTCATGTACAGGTGCTACATATATAAATAAAAAGCAACTATAAATTTCAGATTAGCCTCTAACACGGCATTTTAGAGGGCCTTTAGATATAGCAACTGTCTACTACACAAGATATTCCACTAAACAAATCCATTTGAGAAGTTTACCATTACAGACAACTTCTCTGCTCAGAGGCAGGGTAAAAATATTTCATATAAACAAATGAAATAAACATACAGTATTGGTAACACAGTATGAAGCAAAAACAGCAGGTGTACAGAACTTAAGTAGGTAACATACTGTTATATAAGCATGCAGCAAATGTCTCATAAAAGACGGTAAGAAGATTACAAATGCTACCTCTCTTGACACAGTCTAATCTTTCTTTTTAAGAGCACAAAAATAATGCTTTACTGTCAAAACATACAACTAAGCACAAGAATTTTTTATTTCAGCTACTTGTTAAAAAACTTACTTTGCTTCATAAAACCTATCTGATTTACCTATATACTGTGCAACTATTTCATCACAAAAAACACAGTGTCTACAAAGGTATACTGAGGTTGCAAGCCAAAAATGTGAATGCATTTGTCATAGTGAAGTCAATTAAATCAATAGCTTTTGAAAATTTCACTTGCACAGGCCAAATCCTAAACAGCCTTTCTTTGATAGATTAAAAAACACATTTAGTCAAGTTTTATTTCCAATAGTGGCTACACAGGTGCCTCTAGAGCAGGGATGGCAAACCTATGCATGCATGCCACATCTGGCACACAGAGCCATAAGTCGCTGGATTGCTACTCCCCTCCCCTCTGCAACCAAACCTGAGAAGGCGGCTGCAGCTGCAGTGCTGATGCCCCAATAGGCAGCGGGCCAGGATCCAGAGCTGGCGCTGGCGGTAGATCCAGAGTGGGGTCTGCTGCTGCCCGCTGTTTTTCCCCCCCAGTTTGCACACTTGGGCCCAAAAAAGTTCACCGTCACTGCTCTAGAGGGTTTACATGCAGCTTATAAAGCACAGAGTCATTTCTTTTTGTTTGTTATTGATATCAAGAGATATAGATTCCAGTTATCACAGTAAATAGCTGCTGATGGATCTATGCTCAATCTATGAGCGCCTTTCCAATCACTGCATATGGTGGAGAATTCCCTCAGTGAATGTGTCATTGGTTAAAGTTACATTTCTTTTCCTTTCTGTAAATCCACTTTGCTGAGTAATCTCAAGTGTGTGTGTGTGTGTGTGTGTGTGTGTGTGTGTGTGTGTGTGTGTGTGTGTGTGTGGGTGAGAGAGAGAGAGAGAGAGATGTGTTGGCGTGAGAAAGAGAGAGAGAGAGAGACAGAGAGAGAGAGAGAGAGAGAGACTGAGAAATTTTTTTATTAACTTTAAACAAAAAAAGTGTTGTGGACAAGATTACAATGGCTCCAGGTATGCAAAAGACAAATTAATGGTTTTTATGAAAAACAAACATTTGATAAGCTACTGTTAGAGACAAGTGATAAAATTATTTTAAAATTGCATGAATATTTTTAAATATGAAAATGGAAGATGAAGTGGTAAAATGGGCACAAGATGTGATAATATTGACTTAGAACAGTGGGCACAAATTTAGCAGAATATTAAATTTACAAAATCAGTAAACTTTAAAGAAAAAAATATATAAGAGGTTTTATAGATGGCATATGACTCCAATGAAATTGTCTAAACTGTATAACAGTATCTCCAACAAATGCTGGAAATGTAAAATGCAGGAGGGCACTTTTTATCATATATGTTGGACATGTAGGGAAGCAAAAAGTTATTGGAGATGAATACATGAAATGTTGCAAAAATTTATCTTATGTGATATCATTTAAAATGGAATTTTTACTCAATGTTATGACTGAAATTGTAGATAAAGAAATGAGATACTTGATAATATATGTAATTATGGCAGCGAGGAAACTATATGGAAAGTATTGGAAGAAAGAAGTACCCTCTCTAGAGGAAATGATAGAAAAGGTAATGGAAGTGGCAGAGATGGATGTACTAACAGAAGCATTAAATGAAATATCATATCAAAAAGGACTTAAAATGGGAATGGTTTTATAATTGGATATGTAATATGGACTGGAAAGTATAGATGCAAGAAGTATGAGAAGGTCCAAAGGAATGGGGAGAGCTATAAAAATAGTCTGGAAAAATTGTTAAGACTTTTTAAAATGTGGTTTGCCTTTCAACATAACTAAGTGGATATAAGAATATTCTTTCACCCTCTGGAATTTTACCCTTACTCCACTCCTATCCATTCCCTCCTTATCCCCTTGTATCCACACCCCAACCCCAACCCTCACTGAAAATGAATGTTTTTAAAAAAGTTTTGTAGTGTTATAAATCTGTATCATATCCCCCCAAAAATGTTTTTTTTAACAAAAGAGACTTCTTGTGTGGAAATTGTTCAAATTCCTTGATCACTGCAGTTGCTATTTTTAAATATTTTTTTCCAATTATTGTGAGTTGAGGTGCTCAAAACTACAGTGGTGCCTCGACTTATGACCATCCCAACATACGACCATTTTGAGTTGCGGCCAGATCTGGCCGCAAAATTTTGCTTGTGATCAAAAGAGACAGAGGAAACAGGCAGAATTCAAATTAGAGGGCTAACAGTTGGTTGGTGAAGAGCTTCTTTGTAGCTCTTTCACCCCAACGGTTAGAGTGTGTGCACTGGAGGAGGCTTCAGACTGCCTGATGCTGCTCGTGAGTAAGTACATTTACTTTGTTTTGCAGTGTGGATTTGGGGGGGTTGTGCTTCTGTGCTGTGTGTGTGCAGGTGCCTTTTTGATTTGTTTTTCAGGCTCCATCGTGTGGGGGTGGTGTTTTTTTTGCTTTGTTTTTCAGCCCCATTGTGTTCCAATGGGGCTGGCTGTGGGGTTTTTTGTGTGTGTGAGAGATTTTTTTCCCTGCTGGAACGGAAAAAATGCATTCCTATGGGAAATGGTGCTTCGATTTATGACCATTTCGAGTTACATCCATCTTCTGGAATGGATTATGGCCATAAGTCAACGCACCACTGTATACACTATATACATATAAGCCACATTAGCCCTAGATGTCATTATTATACTATTCCTTTCTTTATGTTCACCCCACAATAAGTGTTTTATTCAGTGTAAGCTTTTCTGGCCGTCATCAGACACAGTCCATAAGAAACAAACTGCAATCTACCACAGTTCTTGCAGGAAAAAAAATCCCATGACATCTGGAAGGCATCACAGTACTTCAGCTTTTGGTCTTTAACACTGTGAAAACTCACATGATTACCCCCCGAAACGTCCTTCATTCCCAGCCTTTCTCAGGTCTTATGGATTAGCCCCCCTTCTTTGCTTTCCCTTTGTGAAGTGGGCTTGTGGGATCAGCGAATTAAAAGTTAAAAAGGACAAAAAAAGTGGTGGGACCTTCACTTCACCAGCAAGCCCCCCTTCTTTGCTTTCCCTTTGTGAAATGGGTTTGTGGGATCAGCGAATTATAGGTAAAAGCAAAAACAGAAATAAAAAGTTAAAAAGGACAAAAAAAGTGGCGGGACCTTCACTTCACCAGCAAACTTGTCCCCGAAAAGTCACATTAAAAAAAAAATATATAAAAGTTTCAGTCTTTAAGGTCCCACCACGTTTTTGGGATCAGAGAAGTGGTTTTGTGTTGTGGTGCTCAATCCCCCGCCTCTGCCTGACGCGCTCGGTCCCCCTCCCCCGCTGTTAGCCACCCTGCTTTCCTCCCCGCCAACAAGAGGATCGAGCACTACCACGCACTCCATATTGGACTTATTGCTCGAAATTATATGACGTGGTCCTTTTCCGAGTCCCCTTCCTATGAAACAGGCCGCGCTCGGCTCCTTTAAGCCCCAGCTTACTATTACAATCCCCAGCCTCCTGCTCGTTGGCACCCCGACTCTGCGCGGTTACGCGACAAGCGTCCCTGCAAAGTCAGGAGTTTCCCCACAGGATGCAGCAACCGATCACTAGCCGGAAAGAGTTAGAAAAGGGCCAGGGAACGGATCTCGCAGCAGCAGCACCAGCACCACCTCCCATTGCCAAGAGGGCGCGAAAACGCGCCACCCTGGGGCCCCAACCGCCAGTCCCCCCATAGGAGGAAGCGACGTCACGGCTCGCTTCTGGAACCCCCTTCTTGAGACTTCACCTGACGAGGCCGAACCCTCCACGGAACATGCCTCACAGCCGCCGGATGCTGCCCGCTCCAGGCGTCCACAGAGACGGAGTTGCCTAGGAAACAACATGAACCCACCTGGCCGCCGCCGTCGAAGCGCTCAATATAGCGATTGGCTACGGGACGATCACGTGCGACGAGCGCGCGCGGGGCGCCGAAGGAAAACCGGGAAGCCGCCTTTTGTTTTCGTCGGTCACGTGGTGTAATAGGCTTTTTTTTTTCGCTCGCGCGCCCCCTCCCTTTCAAAGCCGAAAACTCACCTCTTTTTTTTTCCAGTGAAGCGGCGCGCTCGGTGACGCGGCTGTAGTGGAGAGAGAGAGAGAGAGGGGGAGAGAAGGCACCACAGAGCAAGAAAATGTAGACTTATCTGTTTGGGGGGAATTTTCGGGTTAACGTTCGGAGGAGCCATTTTAAGACGTCTCCCAGGACGGAAAGGAGAGGTCGCCGGACGGGCATTGGGCATCATTAGCCCGTATTAGTGGTGGGGAGCTTCCAGGCCGAATCCGGGTGTCCGAGGTGCAGAAGCCTTGACGCGATGTCCATTTGGATGTTTAAAACTAGTTACCGCCCTAGGCAAAGACCTTGACTTGCTCGCTTTTGCCCTGGGGAGGTTCAGTAAAAGGAAAGCAGCAGAGATTGGGAAGCAGCTCCGTGGCTTAGTCGAAGCGTGAGGGCGGTAGCCTAGGCATCCGAGCAAGATGCTTGTTTTAGCAGCGGGACTGGGCTGGATCCAGGAGGATCCTGGCGGCAGCCGTGCCCGTTTGCCGTTCAGGTTCGTGAGGAGACCAGGGAAGGGAATCGGGGCGAAGAACGAGCCCTATTTGAGAGAATTGGGAGGATGGCGAGGATCGTTTGTTTCTAGCGTTTGTGAACACCTTGGACCATCTTCAGAAAGCCTACGAGCGCTGCTGTGTCTTTCATTTTGTTCCGTTTATTATTTGAAAACTCTGGGTTTCTGCTTCCATCCAAGTGTTGAGACAGGTGGTCGCTCGTGCTTGCAGGGTTTATTGTGAAAGCCGGATTCCCTTAAACTGGGCCACTATCCATCTGACGGCCCTTAGGGTAACTGGCTTGCTTGGTAAGGCAAATAGCCATAGGCGGAGAGCTGAGCACCAGCATCACAAAGCTGTGATACTCCTTTTGACACAGAAAAACAATGTACAAAACCATTTCTTTGCACTCGTATTTTTTTGTTTGTACAGCCCTATTTTTTAAACAAGAGGGGACTGGAAGTAGGTCTAAAGAATTTGTCCAGGAAAGCTCTCCTCAAAATATAGCAGTTAAGGTTTTAAGGTGCCACAAAGGTTTTGCCTTTATTTTTTATGTTTCTTTTGTTTTTGCCTGTTATGCTAACACAGACTAAGATGACTACCTCTTCAGAAATTTCCAGAATTTAAAGAGGATTAGAGCAGAGTTTGGAAAGTCCTTTCTTGAGCTACAACTCCTATGAGCAGCTTTGGGTCTCTTGTTGGGAGAAATGTGGCATATAAATAAAACTAATAATAATGCCACAGAAAGTATAACCTATGACAAAACTGGCTGGTGGATTCTGGGAGTTGTCATCCAAAAAGTCAGTTCTTACAGCTGTGATTAACCTTGGGCCATATCCTTCTTGCTCCCTAGGATCCCAGGTTAATAAAAAGTAATAAGATGGAGGTCCTGACCTCCCACCTACAATTTTGTTTTGTTTCTTTGGATCTTGCCTCATAATTCCCAGAATGTCAAGGCTGGTTTCTTTTGAATCAGCAGGAAAAAGATACACTCAAAGGCTCTGGTGTAGCTCTTTCATTGAATCACTCCAGACTAGTGAAACCCAAGAGTCTCTGCCTAAGTGCAGTGGTGGCGAACCTTTTCGAGCCCGAGTGCCCAAACAGGTGGGGGGAAACTGCAGTGGCTGAACCGGAAGTGATGGTAGAAGGGGGAATCCCAGGCACAGAGGTATCTCGAGACCCCGCTCCGGATCCACCGCCAGTGCTAGCTGCTCCAGATTTGGGCCCGCTGTTGAAGCACCAGCTCTGCGGCTGCAACCACCTCCTGAAGTTTGGCTGCCGGGGGGGGGGTAGCGTTTCGGCAACTTAAGGCTTGCGTGCCTGCAGAAAGGGCTCTGTGTGCCAGCTGTGGTACTTCTGCCATAGGTTCACAATCACTGGTCTAGTGGATTATGCCAAGGGGGACACCTCATTCTAAATGGAGTAGAAGGGCTGCTGCCTTGTCATAGAGCTGACTACAGAGAAGGCTTACATAGATTGCCTTGTGATATGTCTAAAGTTCCCATGGTTACTGTAGTGTATATGTGTGGCTCTTTGTGAGAAGGACAGGGAAAGGGCTCTCCTTGTTGGTGTACTGTCCCCTCTTCCCACGATGGTGATTGAAACAGCCAGCTCCCCATAGACAGAGATAGGAAAACATCACCTACAACCTCCTTAGAAAGACGTGAAAGTCTAGGAAAGAGAAACCACCATCACCACCCCGGAAATAAACAACAGTTAGATTGGAGGAAGAGATAAAAGGAACAGGGATGAGAAAGAAAGGTAGAACAGAAACAGAGGAAGAGAGGAGTTACATGGTAAAAGTGGAAAAAACTGAGGAAGAAATACTTGAAGACTGGATTTGGATGGTGAAGAGGGATCCCTGGATGCCATCCTAGGTTCACCTAAAAGTCTCTCTAGGGAACAAGCGGAGAGAGAATGGCAAAGATGACCCCCTAGAAAGCCTTCATACTGGGGTGAGAGAGAATGGAGAGAAGACCTGAAAAAAAAGAACACAGAGAAAGAGGATACAAAGAGAGAAGGAGGAAAGGTTAAGATGAGAAAGAGAAAGGAACCTGGGATCAGAGAGGGAAACAGATGAGGGAGGAGTGGGTACCCTGGAACACCCCGATTTCAATGGGTTTTTCCACTTATGACCTATCTGCCCTGCAGAAGGAAGGTGTAGGGAGCTGGGAGGAGGCATACCAGTGGACTCATGGTTGTCCAAATAAGTTGTCCCAAAACCAGCTCCCATGATGACTCCGGAGGGGTTGTGGGACAAAGTATTTCTGCTACAGATTGAGTTGTGGACTATGTAAAGCTCTTCAGGTAACACTGAATGTAAGCCTGAGTTATATGAAGAACCTGTTGAGGTGGTGGTGAATTTGAGGTGGCAGGAGGCATACCAGTAAGTAGACTCATGGTTGTCCAAATAAGTTGTCCCAAAACCAGCTCCCATGATGACTCCGGAGGGGTTGTGGGACAAAGTATTTCTGCTACAGATTGAGTTGTGGACTATGTAAAGCTCTTCAGATAACACTGAATATAAGCCTGAGTTATATGAAGACCCTGTTGAGGTGGTGAATTCGCCACTTGTGTCATTAATAAACCCTGTTGTGCTAAAAGACGAATATATTTCTCATCTTTCTTCAGGCAGTATAAATGGTGAGAAGGGGGTGCTTACGTAATTCTCTCTTGCAACCCCTGATTGGTGTGTGTGTGTGTTTATACACAGCCCTAACCATTCAACTAAATGTGCATCCATTAGGACAGCGTGATTCAGTCCCCACCCCGGCATTGTCCATTCACTTTAGACATTGTGATGGAACAGGAACATAAAGCAAGAGCTGAAGTGGGCTGCAGCCCAAGACCAAGTATCTTGGAAGATCCACTACTGTGCTAAACCCTCCTCCAAAAAGGTACATGGACAACAGTTGATGCAACACAGTGTTTTATGTGTTATTGTGTGCTCTGCTGTCTCTGCATAAAAGATAAACCACACTTTTGACTCATCCCACTTGGTGGAGCAGTGGAAACTGATCCAAACTCTTGTAAATTGTGACCCTGGAGGTGAGTCGTCGTCACCGCTTGCTGCAGCACTGTCCATTCCCACAAAGGAGATAGAAAAAGGAGGGGAATATGGACTCCTGATGACTCCAGAAAAAGCCCCTGAGGAGTCCTACTAGGCGGCAGAAGAGGAGGAATTATCCCAGGGCTTGAGGGGGATGGGAGTACTGTAAAGGAAAAATCAGTTAAAAGAGGCGGGAAAGGGAAGTAGAGAGAGGGAGGAGATAGAAGCAGGTGGAAGGAGAAGTAATAGAGAAAGGAGACACGCTACCTCCGGGTTGGGAATGGATCTGGTTGCAAGATCCTTGGAACCAGAAGTGGGACAGACTGAAGGTGCCTAGGGAGGAGAAGGGTGGTGATTCTCCCTTACTGGGGAGAAGCAGAAGCTAGGGAGTGGAGGAAGAAATTAAGAGAAAAAAGAGAAAGAGTAGAACAAGAAATAAAGGAGAGGAGTGAACGGCGAGCGTGGGAGATTATGAAGATGGTAGACTAGAGAAGGCCTGGGAGGTGCTGGAGCCTGTGAGATATTCTAAGTGGGAGGATTTCCTTGGATACGTGTCTGTGCCCCTGCTGCCTATACCAGCGCTTTTGACTCAGACCACTTGGTGGAGCGGTGGAAACTGATCCAAACTCTTGTAAATTGTGACCCTGGAGGCGAGTCGTGGTCACCGCTTGCTGGAGCGCTGGGAGATGATGAAGATGGTAGACTAGAGAAGGCCTGGGAGGTGCTGGAGCCTGTGAGATATTCTAAGTGGGAGGATTTCCTTGGATACGTGTCTGTGCCCCTGCTGCCTATACCAGCGACGGCGAACCTATGTCACGCGTGCCACAGCTGGCAAACAGAGTCCTTTCTGTTTGCACGTGAGCCATAAGTCGCCATAGAGAAATACTTACCTGTCCTCTGATGCTGGATTTCGGTACTCCCCTCTGCTGGTGCAGTGGTCCAGCAGAAGGGTGTAAAGGCGACCATTACTGGTCTAGCCCAATGGGGGATTGGACAACCAGTAAGTATTTTTTTGTTGATACCGCCCATAGGAAAAATACCACAAGCCTTTAACCCTTATGGTGCAGGAGCAGTTTTTTTTCCCTAAACCAGAACCTCAGCATTCAGGTTTAATTGCAGTGTTGGCACTTTGAAATAAATAAGTTGATTTTGTGTTGCAGTTTGTGCACTCGGGCTCAAAAAGGTTCACCATCACTGGTCTATATAGATGGGAACGATGATGAAGGAATGGTCGCCAGCCGAGCCACCAGGACCATGGAACTCTAATTTTGGTAACCCCTTCATTTTAGAAGATTGGAAGCCCCTTCCCACCCCATTGGAGGAAGGTGAAAGACTATGTTCCAGTTCAAAACAATGGTTTA